CTTAACTTTGGATGGAAAGCCTTACCCATTATCACTTGTATCTTCCTATACGGTATAGGTGTAATAGCTAGAGGTCCTAAAAAGGTACATCCACATAAAGTAAGTCAGAATTGGTATGTCTTAATTACTTTCATTTTACTATTAGACATTCTTGTAGTCTTATATGATCTTCTTGTTCAATGTGGAGATGTAGAAAGCAATCCAGGTCCAACTACAGCGGACGAACACATAAGTGTTGTTCACTATAACGTGCAAAGTATCCTTCATAAAATCGATGTATTGTTTACTGAACTGAATACTTTTGACGTGCTTGCGTTTACCGAAACATGGCTAAACCCCTCAAACGAGTCGTCTGATGATCTCATTCACGGCCATTTTTATCCACCTTTTTGTCAAAGCAGACAAACGCGAATTGGTGGCGGTGTCGCGGTCTATGTTAGGAAAAACATCATTGTCAAACGGCGTAAAGATCTCGAGGTCAGGAATGTTGAAAGTGTATGGCTAGAATTACATTTGAAATCTCATAAACTGCTACTTGGCACTTTTTACCGCCCCCCAAACATCAACGACCAAACTTGGAATTTAATCCATTACTCTATAGAACTTGCATTTAGTACAGGTATTACAAACATTCTTATTACTGGTGATTTGAATGACAATATTCTATCCACGAATAACAGTGTAATTAAAGATATTATGAACCAATTCGCTTTAAAGCAGTTAATAAATGAGCCAACTCATTTCACAGAAACCTCAAGATCCTTACTAGATGTGTTTCTCGTTAGCAATGATGGTATTGTTGAACAATCCCATGTAGGTGATCCTTTTCTGAAAAGTAATATAAGGTATCACTGTCCTATATATGCGTATCTGAAATTCAAACGCCCACCGAACAGTAAATGCACCAAACGTCGTATATGGTTATACAAAGATTGCAGTTTTAACAATTATCGTGAGAAATTAACTAACATTACCTGGAATGATACAGAAGCATTATCTACAGATCTCGATGCAGATTATGTTACAAAAACAATTACTCAAATAGCTTCAGAGACAATACCAAACAAATGTATCACAATAAGAAAAGCTGACCCGCCTTGGATGCACAATAATATACGTAAATTGATCAGAACTAGAAAAAGAATTCATGCAAAAGCCAAGACTACACAGAACCCACTTCATTGGGAAACATTCAGAAAAGTTAGAAATACATGTGTTGATGCTATTCGGCAGGCGAAAAGTAATTATTACAAAAAATATCATCTTACCTTCAAACCACTCCTAACTCTTCTAAAAATTGGTGGAAAGTCTTGAACTCATTAACTAACTTTTCATGTAAAACTACTGACGTACCTATGATCATTTATAATGGTCAAGAGTACATTGATGATAAAGAAAAAGCCACTATTCTTAATGACTACTTTATTCAACAGACCGAACTTAACGACTTACATCGACCCCTTCCAGTTAATCATGACAATATTACTATCATACTAGAAAATATTACTATTACACAGCAGGACGTCTCTGATGCTATTAGTATACTTGACGCGTCTAAAGCACCTGGGCCTGACTTAATAAGTGGGAAATTTTTAAAAGAAGGTAAACGTCAGTTAATTGGGCCTCTTTGTAGTCTTTTTAACAAATCACTGTCGAATCAATCATATCCCGAAATGTGGAAAATGGCTAATGTTATTCCTATATTTAAAAAAGACGACCCTAGTGTAGTTTCAAATTATAGACCGATTTCCCTTATTAGTATAATAGGAAAGGTTATGGAAAGGTGTGTTTTTAAACATGTGTATAATTTTCTACGAGACTCTTCTTTTTTCACCGAACACCAGTCGGGTTTTAGAAGAGGTGATTCTGCTATAAATCAACTATTGACTATTACAAATGATATTGGTAAAGCTTTAGATTGTGGGAAGGAGGTGCAGGTTATTTTCCTAGATATAAGTAAAGCTTTTGATAGGGTGTGGCATAAGGGTCTCCTTTATAAATTAAACAAAGCAGGCATAAGGGGAACGCTATTAGGGTGGTTCAAAAGTTATCTTTCTGATAGGAAACAGCGAGTTTTGGTAAACGGTGAATTTTCAAACTATGGTACAATTAAAGCTGGGGTTCCACAGGGCTCTATTTTAGGACCCTTATTGTTTCTGATTTTTATCAATGATATAGTTTCTGACATTGCTAGTATTATAAAATTATTTGCAGATGACACTACCCTCTATCTCGTAGTAGACAACGCTATTAACTCAGCCAACGTATTAAATAATGACTTATGTAATATTCATGCTTGGGCTAATCAATGGCTAGTTACGTTTAATGCAAATAAAACAGAGTCGTTACTAATCAGTAGGAAATCTTCAAAATCTATCCTTCCACAACTTATTATGGATAACACAAATATCAATCAAGTAATAACACACAAACATCTAGGTGTATATATCAATGAAGATTTAAGTTGGACTAATCATGTTGACGGTATTATCTTGAAGGCGTCCAAAAGGTTATCTGCCCTAAGGAAGCTCAAATTTGTTCTTGACCGTAGCACGTTGGAACGTATATATTTCTCATATATTTTGCCGATCCTTGAATATGCCGATGTTGTTTGGGATTCTTTGCCAATTGTCTTTATTAATAAACTAGAATCTATTCACAAGGAATCAGCACGGATTGTTACTGGAGCAACAAAATTGGTAAGTATAGAATTGTTATATAAAGATACATGTTGGGACACATTAGCAGAACGCAGGAAAAAACATAAGATTATCAAGCTCCACAACATGGTCTATAACCATACTCCGTCTTCTCTTTCTAATATACTTCCACGGAGAAATTCCGAAATACATAATATGAGAACTAGACAATCGAATCATTTATCTACCATTAAAACTAATACCAGTTTCTACAAAAACTCCTTCCTTCATTTTACTGTCCATTTGTGGAACAATCTACCTACCACTATACGAGAAAACCCCTCTGTGTCTGTCCTTAAACATTATCTTTATAGAGACAAAGGTAAATCGCCTAGTTACCGATCCTATGGAAACAGAACAGCCCAAATATACCATTCGAGACTTAGACTACTATGTAGCAGCTTAAAAGCACACCTCTTTGAGAAAAACATTAGCGACGATCCTTTTTGTACATGCGGCTATATTGAGGACAACTTTCATTATTTATTTGCTTGTGAAAAATACACAAACATAAGAGAACAATACATTTGGGCACTCAATTATGATTTAAATACTGAATGTCTACTCTGGGGAAATCCCGATTTAACTATACAGCAAAACGAGGAAATCGTATCAGCTGTTCAAGAATATATAATGAAAAGTGAACGATTTGCATGATCGTATCCATTTCCATTTGTAAAAATAACTTGACTGTGCTTACTCTAACAACAATCTCGTTCTCAATCACTTGGTCACGATGTACTTTCATTGCAAATCTTGTACCTCTTACCAATGTAATCATAAATTACTTACCCATACTCGCTCTAAACTGCGTAGAAATACTATATTTGTCTTTAGTTGAATGTAGATATCCATTCACGCATTATTTACCAACGTAACATATACGTACTTTAACGGTATTCGCAAAGTACTTACATGTATCAGTAATATGAAATTTAGTCCCTAGTTAATATAATATACTTGCCCTTAGTACGGACATATTATATACTTATAATGATTTACCTTCACTACAAATACTGTACCTATCATTTTTTATGATTGCTATGTCGCCATATTGTACCATATTTACATTCTTACAAATGGCAAATATTACTATAACCAATGTATGCGTCAACTAGGCTTTAAATTATGATATATGTGCATGGCATAATGTATTTACATCTTTTGTGAAAATTGTGGGCCTGCAACACCTTGCTGGTAGGGCTATCCCCAACCCCTGTGTGCTGTGAGCCTACAAACTTATCATTATATTGCATAATGATGTTGTATAGTGTACTACACTTATATTCTAACAAATTGCAAATATGACTATACCCAATGCATGCATCAATTGGGCTTTAAAATGATGATATATGTGCATGGCATAATGTATTTATATTTTTTGTGAAAAATTGAGAGCCTGCAACACCTTGATGGTAGGGGTATCCCCAACCCCTGTGTGCTGTGGGCCTACAAAATTATCATTACAGTGCATATCTTGCACAATATTTTACTCCATGTGCATGTACAACTATCTTATTATGTACCTATATACTTTATTATTGTACTTACTATGTATCTATGCTTAATTATACCAAATGTTATGTTATATGTTATAATATTCTATACTCTCTGCACTCTTCAGTTCAGAGGTAATATAGGGAATTAAAAACAACTCATATCTAATTTGCACGCGACTACATTTCAAACACATGATCAGTACTCGGATTATAATTTTATAGCTGCCACCAGCATTCCTTTTTAGTTGGACCACTCTGTCGATATGTGAATGGTATAACATTTTAGGAGATGGTTTTACATAAGCTTTAAGCTTGTTACCAAATCCTCTTAGTTAGGATTTGAATTATATGTATATCTAAATGTTAAACATTGAATAAAATATTGTTTAAACTAATACCAATTAGGAACATCGTGGGTTTTTTTTGTAATGATGTTATTTTTCGGAAATTACTGATCATTTTTACAATCAACCTTGCAACGTGCGTGCACCAAGCACGTGGTGTACAAATTGCAGTCAAAACACTGGATTACAAATTTAGGACAACGGGTTGATTCATTCGTAATTTCCCTTTAAATGCCATGTGTGTAGTATGATTTGTAACGGTCTTTGTAAAAAGCATAAATTATCGGTAATTATACGGGGTTATTATTAAGTAATTGCCTATAAGTCCTTTGACATTTTTCACCACCGGCGATTGTTATTCCTCAAGTGCAATACAGTTCACCGTCATATTTTTGGCGCGACAGCCATGTCAATTTCAAATGTGCGAGTCACTGAAATCCGGTGACAGCTTGGACAAACATGTGTACTTTTTCTACATATACACTGATGACATTTTTGTCAGCCTCTGTAGCTTTTAACTTAGATACCGAACATCCGGTGATCTATACAGGACCAAATGGAAGTTATTTCGGATATTCCGTAGCAATGTTGGATAATGTATATGGTTCATGGTAAGTAGTATTGAAGCTTAACTTTGTACGGTTCTCATGATTTTAGCAGACAAAAGAAGATATGAAAACTCGAAAAACAAAACTGATCTGAGAAAAATTATCATCATGTCAGATTTTGATTTATCTAATGATTACTATATAGATTATTTATCTTTGTTAATTTATATTTTGCAAATCTGGAACAAATTTGATTATTTTTTTTTTTGTAAAGCTTACTATCAAAGATACCTAAGGTTTCCTCCGCTTACAGAATCTGAACAGGTGTAAGGGCTTACCTCGCTTAAAGAATCTGTACAGGTTTAGGGCTTACCTCGCTTAAAGAATCTGTACAGGTTTAGGGCTTACCTCGCTTAAAGAATCTGTACAGGTGTAAATACTTTCCTTGCTTACAGCACCTGTACAGGTGTATGTACTTTCCTTGCTTACAGAATCTGTACAGGTGTAAGGGCTTACCTCGCTTAAAGAATCTGTACAGGTGTAAGTACTTTCCTCGCTTAAAGAATCTGTACAGGTGTAAGGGCTTACCTCGCTTAAAGAATTTGTACAGGATATATTCATACGTCCAGATCAATGTTATTCAGGTCAAATTCATCGACAAATGAAATAGACTTAACAAGTAAAAAATTTGAAATATTATACGATCAAACATTTTTATGTTCTACAACTTAATATTAATGAGCACTTATACTTATGTTAAAAAATACAAGTCTGTATCATAAATAGGTTATTTTATACGCGCGCCACTTCTGATCGCAATTGGGCGAGAACGTGTAAAAGCATGGGTGAATACGGAGAGGCGTTAATGTTTTTCAGTTTGTATAAATTAGTAATTTTATTTTCTCATATGGCGGAAACCTCGAAAGAACTCCAAGTCTCTTCCCCATCACTTATTTTCCGTGCTGCTGTAAACCATTATGACACAGATTTAGTCGAGACCATATTTCGTCAAATAACGAAGTTTAGATACAAATCACACTATTCGTAATGAAAGTTCACAAGGTTAAATAGGTTGTAGTTAATGTAGGCTGTTGTCAGTTTGTACGTGTTCGTGAAAAGTCGTTGATATGATTGGTGCCCCAGAAATAATGATGAAAATAATAAGAAATGACAGGTTATGTAATTGAACTCTTCACGAAAGAAGTTTTAGGGTTTTATTAGGAACTTAAATATAAGATCGTGTTCGATTCCCCGATCTAACGTGAACGGGGTATTTGGCCACTAGTAGTCTAACCATATGACTTTCCCCCAAGAAAACGGTTTCCTCTCCTTATCATCATTCAATCCGGACCAGCAAGAGTGATTAGTAAATAGACCGTTTCACCATCATTGTTTAATAGAAGCGAATTTAAACGGTGAATCCGTATTTGATTTTGAAGAATAAAGACCATCTACTCAGCCAAGTTAACATTGATTAGCCCACTATTTTAACAGTCATCAGATAGTGCTTTCACAGCTACATGTTTAACAAATATTTTTTTCAGTATTTCTCAAGAAATAGCAATTACAAACTTCAGCTCTCAAAATCCAAGATGGCCGTATGTCGGCCGGCCATTTGTTTCAGTGGTCAAGCTTAAAACGTGAACGAGCATAACTAGAGTCATAGGGAAACCCACCTATTAAGCTACAGAAATATCCTTCCAGTACCACTCAAACAATGGCCCTTAACGGTCATGTGACAATCAACGAATGGATGGACAAACCACAAAATTCGCTGATGGTGGTCTGACAAATCTGATAATTTTTATTTTGAACATTCCTTGAACGTAGCAGAAACTCATAATGGTAGGTTCTGTTCATGAAAAATAGTTGCACAATCATATAACAAAATGACTTCTGTGGTTACTATGTTGAAGTTTTGATCAGACAGAAAAACAACAAGTCATCTCTTTCTTTTCTTAAAAATATCAAACTCCAGATATTTTTTTCTGAGTGGTATGAATGGAACATGAAAAGAATTTGTTCTAGATGAGATACGTTTAATTTTGGACCAAAGCGTAAAGGTAAGATTTTGTCAGAACAATCTCAGGATCACTTCATGTATGTTTGATATCATTGCCACTCCATGTTAATGTTTTGGGCTAAATTTGGTTGAATCTACCTAAGCATTAAGTTGTAGAGTTTTGAGGCACAATATTGTCTAGTTTCCCCCTATTGGAGTCCCGCCCCTACTGTTAAATTACTTTTTTCTGAATTTAAGGAATGATTCTCCACCCATAATGATGTTTTGTACCCCATTTGGTTTAAATCCATAAAGCTTTAAGGAAGAGTAGCGTTTTGAAGCAAAATCATCAACTCATTTTCAAATTTGGTCCATAGGGGTCAAATCAACTTTCTGAATTTAAGAAATGTTTTCCAAATTTTAATGATGTTTCAGACCAAATTTGGTCAAAATCCGTTCAAGCATTAGTAAAGAGCAGCATTTTGAAGCAAAAAACTGTTTAATTTCCCCTTTTTGGGCCTCACTTCTAAGGCCCTAAGCGTTGATTTATCAAACTTTCTAAATTTAAGAAATGATAACCACATACAATAATGTTTCATACCAAATTTGGTTGAAATCTATTCAGATATTAAGAAGGAGGTGCATTTGAAGCAAAATATTCTCTAATTTCCCATTTTGGGGCCCCAACCCCCAAATCCCTCAGGGTCAAATTAAATTTTTGAATTTGATAAATAATCCCCTACTCCAAATGATATTTCAGACCAAATTTGGTTGATATCAACCAAGGTCTTAAGCAGGAGTTGTGTTTTAAAGGAAACATTTACCGACAGCAAACAACAACTGACAGTGCACAACAACGGACGATGCACGATAGCAATAGGTCATCTTGACCGTTTGGGTCATACGACCTAAAAAAGCTTTAATAAACTTCATCTGTCAAAATCCACAATGGTCGCATGTCTGCCATTTTGTTACACTGATGAGACACAAAAGTAAAAGAGCATAACTAGGGACAGAGGGCAACTTACGACCTGCAAGTACTTCTCAACTTCTCAAGAGATAGTGACAACAATGAATGTTTACAAACAGATGGACATGCCACAATGAATGGTGATTGAACAGTTGAACCTTCAGTAGTAAGAAAAATATGATAAACTCATACATATACCTGTCAAGAAATCATAACCTGAAAATTGTCTTTCACAAACAAGATATTGGTGGTGACATTACTTAAATGAAATTTGTGCTTGAACATCTATTACAACCTCATATACTTCACATCATACAGTAATACATTTCTCTTTAAAAATATTCAGTTTGAGGCCAAAAAATTAAAACTATGAATTGCTGAAATTAACCGCAGACTCCAGTCCAAATCTCGAGGCTTGGCAGGTATGTTAACATGAATGTCATATTAATTAAGTCATCTGAGGAATCTCTTCTTAACAAGCTATAGAAAAATCATGATATGATATACCTGTACCCCGACCTAAAATTTTATTAACTTTGAAAAGTACAATTTGTACTAGTGCTGGCACGTCAAATGACATAATTGATCATTTTGATAACATTTTAAAGTCATTTTATTTCACAATTTACACACCTTTGACAATTTTTTCAAATTAGGGACATATTGCAAGAATTTTTATACATGTTCCATAAAATTTAAAACATTATTTTTCTTACTTACATAACAATGAGAATATGTAAACAGATTCCTTTTTAATGAGTCACAAAACAATGCAAATTAATCCTGTGTGTCTGATGATTCATAGCAGATAATGAAAGCAATTTTCTCTCTGTGCCATGCATATCTAACACCCATAGCTGTGTACCATATACACTAACACAGGGTTGACCATTTGACATTTAAGATAATAACTATGCACAACAAATCCGACATATCATGTTCGTATCAAAGAAGGTCATCGTCCAACATAAATTTTCCTAGTTCACCCTTGCGAAACAACTTTAACACAATGTCAGCTGCAGCACTAAAGTCTGGTATGTGCACAAGCTGACGTGTTTCAGTAGATTTGATCTTTTTAATTAATTTTTTTTTCAGAGCCACATGTTTTAAAAATGGCATCACATCATCTATTGGTTCCTGCAGTTCAAAATACTTAACATAATAAAACTTTTGTTGTTTATTCATCCAGTATAGCATATAGTCTACAATGTACTCTTCCCCTACATAATGGTCCGGCATACAGCCACACAATGCCAGCTTCATTCCAACATGTATGTTTGGTACAGTTGGGGTCAGGATTCCGGGCGTATCAATTAGAAATATTGGTGGGTCAAAGTTCACCCTGACTCTATGTCCTATCGACTTTGTGACGCCGGCTTTAGCTCCAACTAAGGCAGCCTTTTTCTGGTGGGTGGTGTTCAATCTCCTCATGTAATTTAGAAATGTAGATTTTCCTATATTTGGAACTCCTAAAACAAGCAAGTTGAACTCATTCACTTCCTCTCTATGAAACCTGGGTCTCGCCTCGATGGCTTTAGTCACCATTGAAAATAGCTCTTTCGATACAAAACTGTTTTTAGTGGTAACAGTGCTTTGAGTGAACATAACATTATCAACTCCCTCGGAGTTTAACTTGGAAAGTATACGTTGTTTGTTGCCAAGATCACACAAGTCTTTCTTGTTGTAAACAAGGACATGAGGACGGAGAGATATGATATCGTTAAAACGAGGATTTCGTCCAGAGAATGGTATTCTGGCATCATGAACCTCAACAACACAGTCAATATTTTTCAACATGTGCTGAACTTGTAAAACACCTTTCTGCATGTGACCGGGGAACCATCTCACCATGTCCTTGTCAGGCAAGGTAAAGTTCTTCCTGAATGGATAGCTTGCACTTGAAATCCGACTAGCCATATCTGGTGTGATGAAAATCACTAATTACGTTGTAATTCGTCTCGTACAGTGACACTATTTGCTCGGAAAGTTTTACAGCCATTACTCAGTCTAACCGGATGTTGAATATTAAAGGGAACAAACTCTATATATACTTTGTTTTTGTTTTACAATTTTTTAAAAAAATGTTAAGATCACCGTTTCAATGATCGTTTAGCCACTCTTAACACACAGCTGAAAATTGATTAACGTTATGTTGAAAGTAGTAAAAAGCCGAAGAGAAATGAATTTGACCTGCTCTTCTAGACTGTAAGCAATAGTTATCTAATTCATGTTATAATCGAAATTATTTTATATTATCATCAGTCAAGCTCAGAATTCGTTTCGTTAAAATATTTTTCAAACTACACTAACCAGCAACAATATTTGCATTTCATATTGAAAAAATACTACCACTCAGTTATATTTTTATTTCAATACAAAACTAATTATACAAATAAAATCGATATAGAACTTTCCGGCAATGTATTGAGAAGATTTATAAAAGAGGAGAAATTAGCAAATAAATAATTACTTCAGCATTTTATATAACTTGAAACGCAAGAAACTTATCATCTTTTGACAAAATGTTATTTCTATGGAACGAGTAAATTTAAGAGATCCGCACCCCATCCTTAGTCTAAGATGATGAATGTGACCTACATTGCTATAACTAAACGGTGGAATGTTAAGGAAATGTTCATTTAATCGGACTTTTTATCAAGTACATCAGAGAGTTCCAGAATACTATTACAGAAAACAAGACAAATAGTTCTATATACATTTGTAAAGTGTAGACAAAGTCTATTTCTGACACCATCATTGGTATTATTTTCTCTGTTAAATTGTATGGCTTGATGCTGATTCAATCCTTCAATAAAAATATTTAATTCTACTTCATGTAGTGAGACTATTGACACAAATAACGCTACTAACAGCTTCTAAGTAAATATTTTCTAAAATATCAGCTCGAAGGTCCTATAAGAAATTGAAATGCACAGCCTTAGATACCATGTGGTAATAACTTACAGAGATGTGTCATCTTTAATTACTAAACAGCATAAATGAAAATGAATAATTGGATGACCAAATCAATCAATTAATCAATCAAGTATGGAACCTTTGGGAATTCTAGCCTTAATATTTCTTAAACTGGCACGATAGTTTAGAAGTTTAAAGCTAACACATTATATTCTTAAATTCCAATAATTATTCTGTTGTAGGGTTTTGGTTGGAGCCCCACTGGACCAAGACATTAACCAGCCCGGGGTTGATCGTCCTGGGACACTTTACAAATGTCCGTACAGTGACCATGGGTCAAGGGAAGAATGTACCCAGGTAAACGTGGACAGCACAGGTAAGACTAACCTTGGCAATATGATATTGTTTAGATTGACCAAGAATTAAATCGGATATCGTGAACGTACCGGAATACACTTACCCTTCTGGAACACCTGGCATTATTTTCTTCACCCATTTATAACATGTCTCAATGGAAATATTTGATTTATTCAAATTTTATCCTCACTTTATAGATTATGACGTTAATAACAGACCGGTATATCGCGATGTCTTTGAATGTCAGACGGACCAGCATACCGATATTACTGACATGAACAGTTTTTAGCCGAGAATATTGGACTTTAAAAGTGTAGTCCAGCAATTTCGTGTTCGGTCTGTTGGTCATCATATAAGCAAGTATGATATCATTTCAACTATTTTTCTGTTAAGATATAGAAATGAGTATTACTAGTAACACTTTATACAACCCCTGGTTTTCGATATTTCTTCAGATTCGTGTGAGAGTGTATAGACACAGGTGTGATATATTTAGGCGATATATCATATCTCAGGTAAGTACAAACCAAATACGATCTACATTCCGTAACTACAACTTAAGTTGTGTAAGTAGGCTTTAACTTTACAAGGAATACAACACAAACTAGCGTATATCCATCCGCGACCTAAATTAAAATTAAATACTTACAATGTACTGCAGTTGAACTCATATCCCAAGTTTGAAGATCCAATGACAAGTACTGTAGGAGATAGAGCACAGACAAAACGGACGGACACAACACAAAACTACAGTCTCCGTACTAACACTTTGTTCCCGAAATAGTTATGTTCCTTAACGTTACAGGGAATACAGAACAAGCTATGATGTTACAGGGAATACAGAACAAGCTATGATGTTACAGGGAATACATAACAAGCTATGATGTTTCCTTTACAGGGAATACAGACCAAGCTATGATGTTTCCTTAACAGGGAATACAGAACAAGCTATGATGTTACAGGGAATACAGAACAAGCTATGATGTTACAGGGAATACAGAACAAGCTATGATGTTTCCTTTACAGGGAATACAGAACAAGCTATGATGTTTCCTTTACAGGGAATACAGACCAAGCTATGATGTTACAGGGAATACAGAACAAGCTATGATATTTCCTTTACAGGGAATACAGAACAAGCTATGATGTTTCCTTTACAGGGAATACAGAACAAGCTATGATGTTTCCTTAACAGGCAACACAGAACAAGCTATGATGTTTCCTTAACAGGGAATACAGACCAAGCTATGATGTTTCCTTAACAGGGAATACAGAACAAGCTATGATGTTTCCTTAACAGGCAACACAGAACAAGCTATGATGTTTCTTTAACAGGGAATACAGACCAAGCTATGATGTTACAGGGAATACAGAACAAGCTATGATGTTTCCTTAACAGGAAATACAGAACAAGCTATGATGTTACAGGGAATACAGAACAAGCTATGATATTTCCTTTACAGGGAATACAGAACAAGCTATGATGTTTCCTTTACAGGGAATACAGAACAAGCTATGATGTTTCCTTAACAGGCAACACAGAACAAGCTATGATGTTTCCTTAACAGGGAATACAGACCAAGCTATGATGTTTCCTTAACAGGGAATACAGAACAAGCTATGATGTTTCCTTAACAGGCAACACAGAACAAGCTATGATGTTTCTTTAACAGGGAATACAGACCAAGCTATGATGTTACAGGGAATACAGAACAAGCTATGATGTTTCCTTAACAGGAAATACAGAACAAGCTATGATGTTACAGGGAATACAGAACAAGCTATGATGTTTCCTTTACAGGGAATACAGTACAAGCTATGATGTTTCCTTAACAGGGAATACAGAACAAGCTATGATGTTTCCTTTACAGGGAATACAGAACAAGCTATGATGTTTCCTTAACAGTTAATACAGAACAAGCTATGATGTTTCCTTAACAGGGAATACAGAACAAGCTATGATGTTCCATGGTAATAATATCAAGTTTCACCACCATAAAGACGGTCAGTGGCTTGGCGTGGCTCTTGATGTTCGACCAGACGACCATTCGTCCGTTTTGGTCTGTTTTAATGGTTTATTTCATTTTATTTATAATTTATTTAGTCTCATAGTAATAAACTACGTTAAAATAAATATAGGACAGTATGTTAATAAAGTTTTAGAAGTTTACATTTCTTGTTGCTCATTATGAAGGAATAAGTAACTTTTTACATACAAGCTGAAATTCAGGAGTTGTCAAAATTTTAAGTTTAATGCGGGAATCTGTTTCGCTTTTCGAATGTGTTTTTCGTGTATCAACTGACTGACTTTAGATATATTGCCTATGTGTTTACTCTGTGGTAAGGTCTGGTATGGTCATTAGATATATATCAAATATATTAATTGATTTTTATCAAAATATTCTGTAGATTTGTGCTCACAGATGGATGGACAACTTTCTGCTGAAGAAGTTTGACGACATATCCCACATGAACGGCATGTGCTATCAGTTACATAGTAACTTGACTGCTCCAGGTCGACTCGTCCCAGCCCTCACCAAACTAAACCGCTTGGTAAATCGGAGACTTCGCTATGCCGAATTCTCCATGGGCAGCCTTGGGATGGCGGCTCAGTTTTCAAACGTAAGTTTAAAGACAACTTTGTCTATTTTCTTTTTTGTTTTCTTTTTGTCTGTTTGGTTTATCACTCCGTGACCGGCCACAGTCTTTTCTAGGCCAGGTCTCCATGTACCTTAATGTATAAAATGCGGGAGACAAGTCACATGTTATCCAGAGCAAACAGAGCAATGTCGATACCACAAGAGTATTTGTGATCACTTCTTCATGATCCTTCCCAGGTAGAAATCGAACTACGCTCCGTGGATCTTAATATTAAAATGAATATTAATTGCCCTGCATAGTTTTTTTTTCTGTATTTTCACTCCTGTCACACTGTTCTATTAATTTCCCCATCAAACTCTACCTAAATACCATAATAATATATGAAGATGTTTAACTTTAGCACAAACAGGGATTGAACGTGTATTTTATGAGCTTCCTGAAACATCTGTTTCGTTAATCATTGACGGCAATTCACTATTCGGCGAATTGTCGAGATTGTTAAGTCAGCTGTCAGGGTCAGGGCGCATTTCCGTCCTAATGACATACCTGTACTGCAGGTAGTTTGAGGGACGGTTGATGTACCCCTTAACTGCTTGATATTGGAAACAGACGTTTAAAAAAAAAAAAAAAAAACGCTTTCTATTGATGAGCTTCATTCCGAACTTGCCAAAATTATCCAACAACAAACGTATAAAATGCCTATGTAAATAACTCATAAGTTGTCCGAATTAATAGCCCTTTCACCCTCACAGATCTTACCTAATACTTTATAATATACTTTTTCAAAATGTGAAAAGTTTCTAGAAGACAGTATATGTGTTACTCAATAGAAGATACTTGTTTAAGAGAACAGTTTTCTGAGTGGCAGACCTATTTACATATGGACATCGACAATAATAAATTACAACCCAGGCACTGCACTAATTAACTACTTACACCAAGTCTATCGGATGGGACTTAAAATGTTTTTGTACAATGTGAAGAAAAAACATACTTGTGAACGCCGACACATAGGTCAGGTAAGTATATTCGATAAGAGGAAAACCAGTTCGAACAACAAAATATTTCTAAGGAATTTACGAGAATTCCAAAATACAACCTATACCAAATTTTCACTAGTAAGAACCATCCCTTCCTCCCTTAGAAGCATGTCTAATTGTTGCTGTTTGCTCGTGATCCGAGTAAAGTTAGGAAAATGGTATGGCACTGATGAGTCGACTTTAAAATATAGTAATATTGGAACAGCTGTGTTCGGCTTTATTCCTTTCCTCCTTCTCCTACTGTCTTCTTTCACTCACTGCTCTATTCATTTCTCTATTTTTATTTCGTTTGCTTGGAAGGCCGGACGACAATAATAACGGACGTAAGGACCGTTAGAAAATAGTTATTCTCCAACATACTGTCCGCATATGTCAGAGTTTTATTTACGTAGTAATGTAAAAGGTCTGAAATTGAACACATTCATTAATGTTCCATTTATCTACTAAAACATGACACAAATTGCTAGTCATTGTTCGTGTTATCAGCTTTATCTTAATTATCTGCATTGGTGGGTAATGTCATCATTATGAAAATAATTCACTTAGATATGAGAACGTAAAATCACCATTTTTTATTAAACAATCAAACGAAAGTAAATAAATTCATAAATATAAATAAAGATAAAAATAAGTTTAACAATTTGGCTTGGAAGGCATCGTTTATGAAACATAAATATATTTTTATTTGAAAAAAAATGAAATACAATTATATATCGACATAACAGACTTAATAGACAATATATATAATTGAATAGGAAAGAAAAGTAAAAATGTTTGCATACCACGTCATTAAGGATAAATCATTGCCCTCCACTATTGAAGTTTTTTTTCAGAATTGCGTTATATTCTCTGAAAACACTGAAAAAACCCTCAAAAACAGAAACCTTTAAAAAAAATCCTCACACAAATAGTTCGATATAAGCAGCTATTTTAGAGTATGTTATTGGTATACTTACAGGAAGGAGGTCAGCTCTTAATGGGTGCACCCGGGCTCAACGACTGGTCTGGTAAGTAAGGTGTTGGTATTTACACTGTAGCCAGTAGATCTCATTACTAGCTCTAATTGGTATTTGATTGGTTTGGGAAGTCAAGTAGTTTTAAATCCAACCAGAATCCTTTGTTTTATTTGACTTTCAAATCACCAGTTGAGTAAATTTTCGACGCTCTTATTTACGTTCATATTAGCACTGGAGTAAATACAATTTTAATTTGGCATTGACTTGTTATTATTGGTAGAGTAACAATAACGTGTTATTATTGGTATAGTAACAATGACGTGTTATTATTGGTATAGTAACAATGACGTGTTATTATTGGTATAGTAACAATGACTTGTTGTCATTGGTATAGTAACAATGACTTGTCATTATTTGTATGGTAACAAGAACTTTTTATTGGTGTAGTAACACTGACGTGTTATTATTGGTGTAGTAACAATGACGTGTTATTATTGGTGTAGTAACAATGACTTGTTATTGGTGTAGTAACAATGACGTGTTATTATTGGTTTAGTAACAATAACTTGTTATTGGTATAGTAACAATGACTTGTTATTATTGGTGTAGTAACAACGACGTGTTATTATTTGTATAGTAACAATAACCTGCTATTATTGGTATAGTAACAATGACTTGTTATTATTGATGTAGTAACACTGACGTGTTATTATTGGTTTAGTAACAATAACTTGTTATTGTTATAGTAACAATGACTTGTTATTATTTGTATAGTAACAATAACCTGTTATTATTGGTGTAGGAACAATGACGTGTTATTATTGGTATAGTAAGAATTTAGTGGACCAGTCATTCCTTTTTCACTTGATAATTTCCAATCTGTATACGTATCAGCTAGAAATCAATCAGTTTCTTTAATTTTATTGACAGGCGGAGTTGCCATAGAGAAGGAGAGCAATTCCAGACGAGATCTACGCTACATAGAACCGGTTTACAGCATATATCACGACAATTATATAGGTATTTACGTTATATGGTTAATTAACTCAATATTAAAAAAAAAAAAAACAGTTGTACAACATGCTTTCAACAAAAACAAAGGAACAAAGTCTTTCATATTTTTTTCGTGTTCCAGGAAGCTTATTTCATGTTTGAACCGGAGAAAATTATTTATAATGTTTATTATCATAATGTCGATTTAATCGTTCAATGTTTTCAAAAGCCGTTGTGTCCATGATTTCAGGGTATGCCATCACCACCGGAAGTTACTTGTCGCGCAGGTCCAAGAATATTGCACTAGGTGCTCCGAAGGCCAATAACACGGGAAAGGTAAGGGATCATTTTCACGTCTTTGAGTGGATAAGAATGGTACATTTTCTGTGTAACTATGTATTTAACTTTCAGGATCATTAATGTGAAATAAAATGCTTTCGCTTTAATTTGTGGAGCTAAACATTTTTCAGAATTTTATAAACCTACAAATATTTAATTGCTCTTGTTCATGATATTACTGTCATTTGTTTTCATGATATTCTACTCATGAATATTCATGGCTTGTTTTTAGGCTTACCAAAGACGCAAAGTCAGTTTAATTCAATGTGCGTTACTTATAATGATATTTCAAACAAAGGCGAAAGGCATTGATACATGTGATGTTGAATTTTAAGAGCTGTATTATTTACATTTTTGCTCAGATTTACCGAAGTCTCCATCACATTTAATGCTCTTAGTTCATAGAAGCATATAGCAAGGTATTCTCTATAGAATTGTCTACGTATACTAGAAAGGAGGTAGGAGTACTTCAAAATTCTCAGTAATATTAAGCATGGGGAAGGTCAACACAAGGAAACTTTTATCCAATATTGTTTAGGATTCCGATCCCGCTACAAGTCGCTTGTGTTATCTGACAACAGACTTGGTAGCGTATAAACATAATCGTATCTATTGTTCCAGGTTTTAATTTTTGATTTGGCGAATCCAAGAAACAGTCCTCAGCTTATCATAACTGGAAACCAGGTAGGCGTGGGATGAGGATGCATTGTTCAGCAAGACCGGAAACAACAAATCTTGTATACTTTTGATATATTTTTGACATCGAATTTGGAAAAGAAATTCGGCTTCTACAGGAAATGTCATCGACCCATTGTTTTTGTGGATGACACGTGTTTTATAACATAGTTAAAATTTTGTGATGCGTTGATTGCGTCTGTAATAATAAAAATCAAGATGGTTTAACTTTTATCAAAATTATCTTTTGTAACCATACAATATACACGTAGAAACGTCTCTGTGGTATTCCAGCCAGTCATTATATACAGATAGTGTTTTCATTAACCTACTGCAATGTTGCGCCTACAAATCTAATCATCATCATCATCATCATCATCATCATCATCACCTGTTAATTTATAAGTCATCGATATAATATTTGAATCTAAGACGATAACTGCAGTAACTGGTGGTATATTTTACAAATTCTGACTGTCCCTTGTTACCTACAGTCGCATTCAAGTAGGTGCATGTTGTTAGTACCCGCAATCCCATGTAGAGTAGTTGTTTCTGCTCTGTTTCAGTGAGATGAAGGTTCTTATAGTAGGGTTTGCCGGAAAGCATTCGAACCATGTTTTTATTGTCGAAGTTTGCCAGCTCTAAAACACGTTTGGTGTACTGGTGATTATCTCTAACCGATCATGTGTATGACGTAACAGTGTAAACTGTCATGTCTTGATAGTGTAGCCGACAGTTTTCAGATATTCAGGCGTTCCTTGGTGGAATGCAGAGTACCATTGTTGAGACGATGGTTTCGAGCAGATTGGTCCATACATCATAGGATGTATGATATCCTTGAAGCATGGAAAAAGTCTGTCCTTCTCCATCCCTTGGTTAAGCTCACCGTCCTCCTTGAGGTGTACTGTCCCTTTCACTATCCTTTTCCACTAGTTTGAAGGGGAATGTACATGTGTCCTGGTATCTAAGTACTACTCTATGTGATGATGCTGTAGCAGCTTTTACGTTTCCGTTACAGCTGGGAAGCTACTTTGGCTCGGCACTGTGTACAATGAAGTTCAGCTCGGACGGGTGGGACGACATCTTGGTGGGTGCTCCATGGTACTCATCCGGCGGTGTTCAAGAAGGACGTGTTTTTATTTACATCTCTAGGGGACTGGTATGTAGATCTAAACACTTTAAGAAATAATAACACCAAGATAATACCAACATGGCAACATAATCATCATTGAAACTCAAATACCATCAAACTGGGGTGAAATTTGAACAAAAGATAGATTTACACGGAGACTCCTGAAAAAGTACAAGGAAAATAAGACAAGGTGTTCCGGAAGAGTAAACGTCTTCAGCTTTATCGACGACAATCGCCAGGTAAACATTGGCCAATTCAAGCAAGTAATGTCACGTTCTCAAATGAGAACAAGGTATAAAACAACGGAGTCAACTGACAAACTAACGAGCATCAAATACGTCCAGCTTTATGTCACACAAAGAAATAGAACATTTCTCCATAAGATCACCATGGCGACCATACAACTTCCCCATAATTTCATCAACGTGCATCTTTTGAACCCTTGTGTTACGAGTTTGTCAGTCAGTTGACGACTTCTTGCACGAAAGTCGTGATAATGGGAACATGCCCTTGATTATCGAATCAACTGTGAAATAGAAAATTCACAATAGGGAAATTGAAATCACCACGTTTATCATACAGCTTGATGGAAAGTTGTCCATGTTGGTTTCGTTGTAGGAAAAGATCTTACCACCAAACTCGATCATTTTATGATGTCTTCTGTATATTTCTTTGGAGTTTGACGTTTATTTTCACGAAATACGCTTCAGTATAGTTCACAGCCATATATTTATACTGCCGTTCACCTTTCACGGAGAAGAAAGCTCTCATAACAAGGGAACGAAATCGTTCCTTTAGTTTAGAATGGGGTGTGGTGGTGTACATCTAGACCAAAATTAAATGACACTGAGCATATGTACATTATAAAGAAATCGCCAAAAAGTGGTTTAACGATTTGAAAATCATGATAAATAGGATATATTTTGATTCGATTGACATGATCCGGTTTGCATTTTTTCATTAGTCAAACCGCTGCTACGGCCTTACCTAAACCAAACGGACTTGCCGCCCCCAAAAAATGCTTTTGATTGTAATGTGTCTTTCTAGATGGGATTTAAAAAGTCGGATACAGAATTAGTTGGATCCTCGTCTAGCCATTCCGGATTTGGTTCAGCCATCGTTAACCTGGGCGATACAAACAACGATGGTTACCAAGGTAATGTCTAAATTACATTCAACTTCAGATAAAGAAAATCAATTTTGTCTGGAATTTTTGAGAATTGACAAGGTTAATCGACGACGGCATACCTACTTTTCAGCAATTCACCAATGAGCTATGTATTAACCAAAATTACATATCACCGTTTGTACGCAATTCAGAAATGTTAGCTATCGATCTTGAGCCATCGCCATGTTATGTAACCAGACAAATACTGTAATAGAGATAACGAGCATTCACCTATAGGGCCCTCAATGCAGGTTTCCTTGTATATGTGTAATATGATCTGGTGCTCTGTAAGTGTTGAGATTTTTTCATTTTATCTTTTACTCATTTATCGTTTGGATGTCCATGTGACAATCATGCAAAAGTGCATACGTGGCATAATTGTATTTATGTGGCAATCATGCAAAAGTGGCATAATTGTATCTAAGTGGCTTTAATGCAACCATGGCATAATTGTATCTAGGTGGCAATCATGCAAACGCGGCATAATTGTATTTAGGTGGCAATCATGCAAAAGCGGCATAATTGTATCTAAGTGGAAGTAATGCAACCATGGCATAATTGTATCTAAGTGGCAATAATGCAAACGCGGCATATTTGTATCTAGGTGACAATCATGCAACAGTGCCATGTATATGTGTCTAGGTCGTAAACATGCAACCGTGATATGTTTGTGTCATCCAAATGTGCCGTGGTAATGATCGATTGTAAAAAGTTAGAGGATCACCTGTCCAACCATTACAGATTTATCCAATACTCTTGTTACTCTTTGATATTATAACCTCAGGTGTGCTTCTATCTGGGCCACCAGGTGTGATTGATATAAATTAATACAATATGTTTCAGAGTAGTAAAATAAACAGTTTGTGATAATGATTTAATTGGCACATGACTAGTTAGTTATAGTTAAATCGACAAAACAGGCTATATACCTCTGACTATGAAATTAGCATTAGATAAATATGTCCTTGGTTCAAAACACTGTAGGTGAGTTATATGTTTCATTTAAATATGATACAGTGCTGTGTTTGATGTTTATATTTAGCTTGCCAATGCCCTTTTGTATCACCAACGAGTACGAGAAGCACGAAACAGCTGTATCATCCAGCATCACCTTCGAGTCCTAGAAGGACGAAACAACTGTTCATGCAGCATCACCTTCGAGTCCTAGAAGGACGAAACAGCTGTATCATGTAGCATCACTGACGAACCCTAGAAACACGAAACAGCTGTATAATGCAGTGTCACTGACGACTCCCAGAAGGACGAAACTGCTGTATCATCCAGCATCACGTTCGAGTCCTAGAAGGACGAAATAGCTGTATCATGTAGCATCATTGACGAGTCCTAGAAGGATGAACCAGCTGTATCATGCAGCATCACTGACGAGTCCTAGAAGGATGAACCAGCTGTATCATGTAGCATCAATAACGAGTTCTAGAAGGACGAAACAGCTGTAGGTTGTAATATCAGTGACGAGTCCTAGAAAGACGAAGTATCTGTATGATGCAGCATCATTGACGAGTCCTAGAAGGATGAACCAGCTGTATCATGCAGCATCACTGACGAGTCCTAAAAGGATGAACCAGCTGTATCATGTAGCATCAATGACGAGTTCTAGAAGGACGAAACAGCTGTAGGTTGTAATATCAGTGACGAGTCCTAGAAAGACGAAGTATCTGTATTATGCAGCATCAGTGACGAGTCCTAGAAGGATGAACAGCTGTATCATGCAGCATCACTGACGAGTCCTAGAAGGATGAACCAGCTGTATCATGCAGCATCACTGACGAGTCCTAGAAGGATGAACCAGCTGTATCATGTAGCATCAATAACGAGTTCTAGAAGGACGAAACAGCTGTAGGTTGTAATATCAGTGACGAGTCCTAGAAAGACGAAGTATCTGTATTATGCAGCATCAGTGACGAGTCCTAGAAGGATGAACAGCTGTATCATGTAGCATCAATAACGAGTTCTAGAAGGACGAAACAGCTGTAGGTTGTAATATCAGTGACGAGTCCTAGAAAGACGAAGTATCTGTATGATGCAGCATCAGTGACGAGTCCTAAAAGGATGAACCAGCTGTATCATGTAGCATCAATGACGAGTTCTAGAAGGACGAAACAGCTGTAGGTTGTAATATCAGTGACGAGTCCTAGAAAGACGAAGTATCTGTATGATGCAGCATCACTGACGAGTCCTAGAAGGATGAACAGCTGTATCATGTAGCATCAATGACGAGTCCTAGAAGGATGAACAGCTGTATCATGCAGCATCACTGACGAGTCCTAGAAGGACGAACCATCTAGTTCTTTATTTGTATGAAATTGTATCATTCACTATTGTGTCTTTTGTACAATCACCATTACCTGACTGTATATATTCTTGCATTTCACCTTCATTTCATGTAGGATGAGGCTTTTTCTGATAATTGGACATGCGTTTTTGTGTTTACAGACGTAGCTGTAGGAGCGCCATACGAGGATGACACCCGCGGGGCCGTGTACGTGTATTTAGGTACTAAGGACGGCGTGTGGCCTGTACCGTTACAAACCATACACGCCCGCACACTAAATCTGGGGCTAAGAGGATTTGGAGCAGCGTTCTCGCGACCTCACGACATCGACAAAAATGGATACAAGGGTTAGTGCTTGTCGTTTGACTTGAGAAACGATTGGGCGGTTTTATTGATTACAGTCTACAATTTGAAATCAAAAGATAATATAAAGTTATGTTGGAGTTATGGTTCTTACGCTGTAAGTGAGAAAATTAGTTTCCTGTTTGACGCTCACAACATTTACATCACAAGAAAGAAACTGTTCAAATGTTCGCGGTTCACGGAAGTTATGAAATTTTTTGTTTGTTTTTGTTTTGTTTTGTTTTTTTTTTGTTTTTTGTTTTTATTCTTCATCGATCTTAATTTCTAGGTTTCTGTTTTCAGTCCATTCTACAATTCATAAAAAATAAAATCGCTTAGATATAACCAACATTTTAGTGATAGGGGTGTAACCGAAAAAAAGGAAAGGAAATAAAGGAAAACGTCAAAATATTGTCCATCTGCTACTGTCTTTTACTTTCGGTGTTTTCACTTCACTCAATGCGTATCGGGTTTGAAAATATTTGCTTGTCTTTTATTTTCATCAGGTGGTATTTTTGTTTGTTTATTTTTAGATATTGTCGTGGGAGCTCATATTTCAAATCAAGCTGTGTTACTACGCACGCGCCCCATACTGAAATTAGCTGTTGTTTTTATCGTTGCGCCAAAGAAAATAGATCCTGATCGAATGTGTACAGACTACGGATTACCTTACCCCTGTGCCAGGGTGAGGTTCTGTTTCTCCTATCAAGTTAATGGACATCCTACTCCAGCTGATATTGGTCAGTACTGATTAATTTACTTGCATAATTGAGAATCCTGTATATGACAAGGAACGTTTATATGCACCAGCCTATATACGATACACTAGATTAAATACCTTACAATCGGTAGATCCTCATATATTAATTGATTTGCCTTTTTATTACTACGTACTTAATCACACACCTATCTGGTTTGTCGGATGGTATAGTTATCACACCGCTCACCTTTCTATCAGGTGGTTATGGTTTGATTTCTTGGTCTCTGCCTGACCATGTTGATATTTAATAGAAACTTTGGTTCCCTCATTTAGGCACTTCCATCCGTATTATCAAATTACGCTTAACATATTTCAATGTTTGTAAGTGAGAACCAAACAAAAATGATTGATAGAAAACCTGTAAAACGATACATTTCACAAAATGTAGCAATTAATTTCTAATCACCAAACAGAAATGAATTCTGACCATTTAAAAAAAAAATCCACGAATAAGCTTAATGCCTTTCAAAATAATTCTTATATCCATAATAATCATAATTCTGCACTTTCCGCCTACAGATTTGCATTATACTCTGGGTGTTGATGTCACACGTGGTCACAAAACACGCAGGGCTGTTTTCATTGAGGCCCTGAAGAACGCAACCTTAACGGAAGTGATGTCACGAACCGGAAGTTTTGTTTTGTCTCGAAATTCCCGAACATGTAGCGATCTTCATACATTTTTTCTGAAGGTAAGAACATATGTAATCATATCCGTTCATGAATCGACAGATTGATAACTTACAAGCGCTACCTGGTAACTAAGTCCCTATACACGGCCAATTGACCCAGTGATGTGTTGTTGGTTTTGTTGTTGCTATTGTTGTTCCTCGTCGTTATTTACCTTTTTGACAATACTTGGCAGGCCTTGATCCGGTCAGAGAGTACACTACACAAACAGTGTACAGGGGCTATGTATACTTCCTCCCATTATGATAAAATGAAAATATTTCCTTTTGTTTTTTACCCTTTTGTCAGTACATGTTTGTTATCATTCGATAAAGATGTTTCCGCTCTTGACAATTGTACCAGCTTATTTTAGTAGAGGCAAAATATGACGTGCGGAAATTGACAGTTTCATGATCTTCTATTTTTGTAAATCTGAGATTCCAGTCCAAAGCTGTTTTCATAAAATTATATATGATACCTTCAATTACATAAGCGAACGTTTCTTTGACGATTTGCCCTATATCTGTTCCTTTCAGAATACAGTAGACCCATACGAGGCTATCACTGTGGAGTTGAGTTTTTCAGAGAGATACCGAAATACTAGTTCGATTGTACCGATTGTGGCTCCTTACATTGCTAAAAAGAAGGTGGTTCCGACACAACAATATATACAACGGCAGGTAAAAGCTTGATATGTCAGTTACAAACATGAAGCGGGTAACAAATTGTCTTTGATTGTCCTTGCCTGTTGTCTTGTAGACACAAATACAATGTAAGTGTAAAGAAAAAATTTACAAACCTCAATACAGTAAAAGTGGCTACGACTTTTTATAATTTTTTATAGTACGAATCTAAGCGGTTTTATCTAAGGTTTAAAGCAAAAAGAATGTCTTATTCACGGAAATCATGACACTTCGGTCTGTTTTTCTTTATCAATATTATATCTACAATATCACTCTTCCTAGATTTTTCCATCCACGAATCATTTGAAAGTATAAACCTATACAGTATTTTCATGGGGTCCACGTTTTAGTTATTCATTAAGATGAAAAAGGTCGAAATTATATCTTGAATATAAGACATAGAATAAAATATAAAATAAGTTTTAAAAAATGTAGTCCTTGGCATGATTTCGTTAAAGCTACATCCTGTCTGTCAGATGATCGGAAAGTCACCATATTTACAGTAACCTGAATCAGACTTATACATAGTCACCGTTTTAATGAGGCGCTTTCAGCACCAAGACCCTAATCGATGAACGTCTTGTATAGCATACAAACGAGCTGTAAATTCTTGATGGGCATATTTGGCCTTTAATTACTGGTGCCAGAGTGTACTTTCCGCTATTCCCCTAACCATTAGATACTGGTTTTTACCCTTGGTTGGAAAACATTCTCGAAGAAAGGTGATAATAGTACGAAGCTTTCCCTATATCGACAAAATTCCTCATGTGCATTATAATGTTAGAGGAGGGGTATATGCAGTGAATGGGAAAAGCACTGAACATACATGATATTGAGCTTGGTCGCATGGTAATGCAAGTGCGCGCATATGCAATAATATTACTTCTTTTTTGACAGAAAAACGTGTTAAAACCTTCAGATATGTTTTTTTGCAAAAGGTTTCCGCTAATTCTAAAGGAAAGAATCCATTTCAAAAACGAAAAAATCCGTTCCATAGCTTTCGCGAAAAGTACAATCTTTCTTCTTCCTATATTAAATCAATTCGCAAACATTGGGGTTTGTGGCCAACTTATTCCCACACTCGACCTCTACCGTCTCCTCCAGCCTACGAAATTTTTGCTATTTCTACAGAAATGAATTCAGAAAAATTCCATGAAGATAAATTCTGAGGTCTAGAATACTATATCTCATATCGTAAATAGTCATATGGTTCATACTGCTCTTTTACATGATTGAGAAGAAATGTAACTTATCTTGTAAGAGAGTAGGATGAGAAGAGAGATGATGAAAAAGCAAACCCTAGAAAAATACTGAACCTCTACCAAAGCGAGGGTTCATTATCAGAGGTCAAATGGTGTTTCCGTCAGAGAAACGGTCAGGAAAGTCTCACATTATTTTCATCACACATAATGTAACGATACTCCCGTGTATAACACTGTTGGTAATTTTGATTTCGTACAGAATAGTCGTTACCGCTTGTTAATTGATACTGAGTATTGGAATGATATATCGATCTTCACCAGATAACACTTAATCATGACAAAGAAACGTTGAGATCCCTGACCACAACATGACAAAGAAACACTGCAATTCCTGACCACCATATGACAAAGAAACATTGAGATCCCTGACCACCACACGACATACAAACACTGAGATCCCTGACCACCACATGACAAAGGAGCATTGAGATCCCTGACAACCACATGACAAAGAGACACTGCGATCCCTAACCACCACATGACAAAGGAACACTGTGATCCCTGACAACCACATGACAAAGAAACACTGCGATCTCTGACAACCACATGACAAAAAAACAGTGAGATCCCTGACAACCACATGACAAGGAAACAGTGAGATCCCTGACAACCACATGACAAAGAAACAGTGCGATCCCTGACCACCACACGACAAAGACAAAGTCAGATCCCTGAACACCACATGACAAAGACAAAGTGAGATCCCTGACAACCACATGACCAAGGAACATGGAGATTTCTGACCACCACATGACAAAGGAACGGAGATTTCTGACCACCACATGACCAAGGAACATGGAGATTTCTGACCACCACATGACAAAGGAACATGGAGATTTCTGACCACCACATGACAAAGGAACAGTGAGATCGCTGACCACCACATGACAAAGAAACAGTGAGATCCCTGACCACAACATGACAAAGGAACAGTGAGATCGCTGACCACCACATAACAAAGAAACAATGAGATCCCTGACCACTACATGACAAAGGAACATTGAGATCTCTGACCACTACATGACAAAGGAACATTGAGATCCCTGACCACCATATGACAAAGGAACAGTGAGATCGCTGACCACCACATGACAAAGAAACAGTGAGATCCCTGACCACAACATGACAAAGGAACAGTGAGATCGCTGACCACCACATAACAAAGAAACATTGAGATCTCTGACCACTACATGACAAAGAAACAATGAGATCCCTGACAACCACATGACAAAGAAACACTGAGATCCCTGACCACCACATGACAAAGGAACAGTGATTTCACTGATCGCCACATGGCAAAGGAACATTGAGATCTCTGACCACCACATGACAAAGGAACATTGAGATCTCTGACCACTACATGACAAAGGAACATTGAGATCCCTGACCACCACATGACAAAGGAACATGGAGATTTCTGACCACCACATGACAGTAATTTCATTTATTTGTCAACATGGGCTTACATTACAGTCTATTGTAAGTTAATTGTTTACGTTGATAGAAATGACAATGCCATAAATCTGCATAAAGTGTTAGACTCAAACTTCCGTGAACACCCTTAACTTCGATTGATGATGTAGGCCGTGGTGACAACTTTTCGAGAGGCCAGTTCAATACTGAATCAATACTCCCTCAAGGTTGACAAAATCTCATTTCTCTTGTTTAACCCGCGACAGTGTATCACTGACTACCTAAACTGTCGAGAAAATGACATTGATACGGCTTCAATTTATTTTGAGGATTCCCATGTCGAGCGTCCATTAGTGTCCTAAGCGAGCTGGGTTTCACACCACCAATATTCCTGTAGTAACATTAGGACAGATGTATCCCTGAAGAGAAGCAATATTACTAGCATGGCACTGAACAGTACTTTTTATGGATGCAATATGACAATATCCGATATTGAAGATATCTATCTGTCGATTTGGATTTTCATATGTGGTGGACATTTTCAATTTGATTTTGATGGATGTGTATGTTTTTCACTTCACATGAATGAAACTTTATCCCTGATATGAAATAAAAATGACTTATAATCTCATTTCTCCATGAGACAAACTTGAAGCAGTGATTACATTTGATAACGTTATTAATAAAATGCCTAACGACTTGGCAACATACAGGAAAACGATAAACTCTGATATCTAAAAAAAATCATAATTAAGCTTTTAAAAAAATGTGTTTTTGAATAATAACATAATTAAACATAAATAAATAAAATAATGAATTCAGCATTATTTTTGGGAGGGTAAATAGGATGAAAGTGTTTAGGACAAAATGAGATATGAAAAAGGAACTAAATGCAAAAATCGCAACAGTATAATTTTATAGTACGGACAGGGATGCGGCATACACAGTTCGTTTTCGTGTTTGTGTTAATACACTTTGTAAACAATTATCGTCTTGAAGGTTAATAACAGTAATTGTTTATATCCGATTATGTTTTCTATTCAGATTATATCGTGTGATTTATTTATCATTCCAGATTTCTATCATGAAGGACTGTGGATCTGATGACAAGTGTAGAAGTAGTCTCGAATTATTGAATATGACCCTGATGATTGGCCAGTCTAACTCTACATATGTTATCGATGAAAGTGAAGACATAAAAGTAGGCATTTCACTCATAAATTACGGAGAAGTAGCCTATGCGACTGCGGTAAAATTGAATGCTCCTTGGAATGTAGCATTACGAGGAGGATGGAAAACAATGGCAAAAATTAGCACGCCCCTAGCTTGTACGATAAGTCATTCACAAACAAAATCTGAAAGATGCGACATAATTTGTGACATCGGCGACGTCAAGTTCCTTGATGACGTCATTAAAGTTTCAATACAGTTAGGAATAAGATATGAGTTTTCGACGAAAAGTTTCGTAATAAATTCATCCTTAGATTCAAGAAGTGATGATACAATGACAAACAGGAAGACAATGGCTACAGAGGTCCGAGTTCAGTACCTACCAAACGTTAAAATCACTGGGTAAGTTATGTTGTGTTAACTTTCCACCGCACAAATCACAAAAAAATAAATAGATAGATAAATTTCCCTATTTGTAAATACACTGCAAGATTCCACCGCACAAATCACAAAAATGGACAAATGAATTTCTGTGCTTGTATATATACTATAAGATTTCATCGCACAAATCGCAATTAATAAACTGTTTTTTTTTCGATGAAACTCATCATATTAAAAGAAACAACAAGAAAACACCAACACGTGAATATAATCGTTTTCAAAATAATAATTCGGTACAACTTGGGTAAAAATATGTACTCATATCGCACAAAGAAATATTCTCATTGATATCGCTATGGCGACTGTAAAACTTCCCCATAAATCATGTGTTATGAGTTTGTCAGTTGACGACATTTTGCACAATAACCGCGATGTTGGTATCAGGCCTTTGAATAACAAATCAACTGCGACATGTAAATACTATAGTTGGTTGGAGATGCTAGACTGCTGCCATCCAGAAACGGAAAATTCATCACGCTTATCATACAGTTTGATGGAAGACAGACTTTGTTGGTTTCGTTATATGAAAACGATGTAGAACAATATTTCATGTCCTTGATTTCCAATTTTGTTGAGTGTATACGATGGGCGAAATCTATAAATCCCTGTTATTTTAAGACCAGACGCCATCAAAATATCTGAAAATGAAATTGAAGAACTTGCAAGGTCTTTGTGACCTGTTTTGATATATTCAGCCCCGCACTTAAATACAACCAAGTCAGCGAACAGAGGGACGCAGTAAGAAAATAGTCTGTTGCAATATCTTACAACCGAACTCAAAGAAGATGGTGTCCACCAAAAACTCTTTGATGATTTCGTCTTCCGTATATTTCTTCTTGATTTGGACGCATTTTCACAGAATGCGCTTCAGTATAGTTCACAAGTTTGTACCCTTGTCCACCCTTCCCGGAAACGAAAGCTCTCTTAACAAGAGAACGAAGGCGTTCTTTTAGTTTAGAATTGAGTATGGTGGAATAGAGTGGAATAATAGGATGTTTTACAGGTAAAAGCCATTTTAAAAGAGGTTGATGAATATTGGTCAAAATCTCTTTGTGGTTCTTTAAAATCCAAATGCTAATATCTATTCCAACTCTTAAGTAAACAGTATCACAAAAGCACTGTAAATTAAATTTAATAGTACCAAACATTGTACTAAGAAATTGTACAAAGGTTTGGTTGAACAGTTAGACAAACAAGCAATTAAAAACGCTGTTTATAGGAATTCTTGTGAAGTTTAAAAATCCAATATAGCCAACTTAATTGAAGGCAATACTGAAGTAGGATTAGTCAGCATTTCTTCTTTGGAAAGGTTAGACGAAGACACAAATGTACAATTTAATATCATAGACAAACCAAACGAGGCTGTACTGTGCGCCCTGTTCACAGGACGCAGAGCACCAAACAGAATATAATGTAAACAGAAAGAGAAGTTTAATTTGTCTGTACTATGCACTTCAGTAAGAAAATAAGACGCAATGTTTATTCTTATCAATGATTAAGTCTACTTAACTCATGTATAAGAAAAGGTAGAAATATTGCACACGAACATAACCCCTTAATACAATTTTATAGGTAGACACAATACTTCTGTGCTTTTAAGTGCTAATAGGGTCTGAATGTGTGGGTTTCTAGTGGAGAAAACAAAACCAAATGATTATGACATTTATGATCAATGATTAAATTTAAAACATTAGATTATTTTAAAAGCCATTCTCAACCGTGAAACAGTACTCGTGTGTTTAAACGACATATGGTAATTTTCAATTTATTTAATTGAAATGATATACATTCCATCCCCTTTCCATTTACATTTAAGTATTTCTATATCTCCCCATAAATATCTTTTTACGATATCTATCAGACAGTATTAATATGAAATAGAACCCCGCCGCTCCTCATCCCAACCCCTCATTTAGACACTGTACTTGTTGTAACCATCACCTGCCAAGGCTTTTGATCATCCCTGATCTATAAATACCCTGTAATGAGCTGATCATTACGACTCCCAGAGAGTTGCCGCTAGCGATCACAGACCGTGTACATTGTTTGCCCTAATCAGGACTTGTATTTGTTTCCATATATTGTATGTCTTCCCGATATTTGTGTGGATCAATACATTTCCTTGTAGGAACAAAATTGAATCACTTGTAATCTAAATATCAGATTGCATGTTCTGTACCACGCACGTCAGATGTCTACATATGAATGCGAATGTGAAGGAAAAACTCATACAATTTCCTCAATAGCTCTTGTCCGTGCTTAATTCGATTCACATCTAATCACAAACTGGTCCCCAAATTGAGCACATTTTGCGCGACGAACTTGACATACGGTTTAGAAATTCCGTTATTGCGTTGCGAAAAACATTGTTCAACTGACACATACACTGTTTTGTTAGTGAAATGACATTCAATTGCGAACAGTAACTACATTGTCGGAGCTTGTGTAAAGTGGAAAATAACAAGATGTTGTAATTTACGTTTATCTTATTACTATAGCTGTTATTATGTGTACCTTCCAGTGATTCCTTATTTACTTTTGTAAGACAGAGCAAATTTGCCAAAATAATACCTTGAAACTACTCTGAAAAACGGGGTTCGCCCCATAATACCGCGAAAATACAACTTTTTTATTTCAAACTTAAGCCCGTGTATCGGAAAATAACTTTTATACTGTGTGGATTCGAACTGCAGCTCTTGTGGTGAACAGGTCAAAACTTCCAGGACCAAGCAAAATGGTCTGTCTTATTGTTTATATATGTATATGGTATTTAACGTTTGATAAAATGACAAACATATATGAATCATTGATGTGGAATAATATCCTTAACTCATAAACTGCAGATGAAAGCACATCACTCCTACAACTCACATACTTTAAAGAATAAACTAAAATGTTATCCGCACCAGGTAACCCGACGGCTAATTAGTCGATATGTAACAGTGCGCGTTTGACAACAAAAACAAAAAATGTTATTCTGTTTTAGGAAAGAGAGATACAGTTATAAACACTAGCGAAACCTTTCTTTGCCATTTTTTAAAATCAAAATGCATGTTAAATACAAAAACAAGTTTTTATTATCGTCGAAGTTAACAACTTCAACTTGCTAATTCATTTTGATATTTGGTCAGATTTCCAGACGTAGATCTGAATTTGCATGGTAATGCTACTATATACATACTAGGTGCACCTCTAAAGTATTGTGAATGGAATACATCGCTACAATGAAATCTTTTTTTCCTGCCGAGGTGACGCTACTCGGTCAAAGTGATTGGTCCATTTGTACAATAATGATAATAGTCTGCGTAAATAATTAAGATGTGCAGGGGTGTACACTTTGAACTGTTGTGTTAGCGTAAAATGTTATCATTAATGGCCAACTCCGTCATTTATACCGACTATAGTTGTCATAACCATACAGCTCAATGTTTCCTTATAGGAAAATTGCTGACAGTTTCTTATAGTGTTAAACACGTGGCTATATTTTGGGTGTCAATCACGACTAATTTTCTCTGCAGGTTTTCTACACCTGATCAGCGCGTGTTATCGGAGAGGAAGGACTTTCTAGGGTATGAGAACATCACTCATATCTTTGACGTCACTAGCTATGGACCAAGCTCTCTTTCCCGTGGGATCTTAACACTTAAGTTACCCGTCAGGGAAAGATACATTGAACTACGCAGATATACAGTAGGTAACATTTATGTTGAAGAGAATTAAGAAAGAAAAAAATTAATTAGAATATTGTCTTATAACTAAAGTCGTCTCCATTTCAGGGAATCAAGTACAGCTGTGTGTTAATAATTTTTCGCCAAATTGTATAAACCATCTTAGAATATAACTTTTATTTCATGTGACTCGGTGTGAAAACGGCTCTGACATAATCCTTTTCTCTGTAATTTAATTTGACATAAATGACATTTGAAGAACCTTTCCGTTATATACTGTGTTATCGCCCTTTGATCAATGTCTTTTAGCTACAATGACTATTTTACACCGTAATGTACTTGTTGTTTACGGAAGTGAGTTACTGTTAAATGTTTGATTTCGGAACCAAAGTTGTAGATCAAAGTAAGATATAATTTATTGTGCCTCTGGAAGTCCTATCTATGTAAGTTTGTTGACAGTTGTTGTCCTTATTTATCTTGGATGTACAGGAATCATACTAAATACATGTGGTTATTCTCCACATGTAAATATTCACAAACTTTTTTTCTCGTCACTGATTGGGCAGATTATGTTATGCACTTAATAATATGTGTAGTACTTTCATTTTTCAATGAGGATTTGATAAAATATATGATTGCAGCATCTTATGAGTTACAGGTATGAATATTGAGAATATACAGTAGAATGACACTAATGTAGTGTTGACATTGTACGAAACGGTGTATCGTTCCTGAGCAGTAGTTCATACATTTTATTGTCGAGTTGTGAAAATGTTTTCATGTGAAAAGTTTGAATTTAAAAGAAAGTTTTCTTATGATATAAACAACTATTGTTTGTTACTGATAAGATAGTACTGTGAATCTGTAACTAGCTCGACACAGAACAGGGAGTAAGCTGTATTGTAAACAGAAGTTCAAATATGTTGACCAAAGCCGACAGGAAAGACCAAGGACTTCGTAACAAAATGATGATAGTAAGTTTGACGAATGATGTCCTTTTTATTCTCCTATGAATGTGTTTGCTCTTTGTATTCATTTAGCCATTTCCGCGTCACAGCTAATAACATTACTTAAAATCATTTCATTCCATTTTCTCTCTTTTTGCGTGCAAAACATTTCCCTAATTCAATCGGCTCTTTCGTATGTCTATTTTTCACCACATGCGACATGCACTTTATGTTTTAAAACCTAAGAGCTGTGAGCGGTTCCCTTGTTTGTCCATTAAGTGTGATATCTGGGACCTGTCACCACAACATTCCATTACATTGAAAGCATACATGACCCTATCCAGTAGTCTCTTCACTGAAGATAAGGTAAGTTGCTACTAGATTCAATGTATGCTTCCCAAAGCAGAATTGTATGTAGAATCTGAATTTCTGCAGAGGATAAGCTTGTGTATAGGAGTTTTTGTGTGTATTACGGTAAAAAATTTTACGGTCTTACCAAAAGTTACGTATGGTTTTTAGTTAGTTTTCATTACTTTATTCTTGGATTAGCGAAAAAATCTCGAAATCTGAACAACACATAGTCATATCTGTGTATCAGTAGTGGTTATTATAAATGCGTTTTGTGTTGATCTTAATTGTTTATTTTCCAGAGATTTAATCACATTCGACTGGAGACTTTCTCCATGTTCACTTATGACGAAGACCCGAGTCCGAATTTCGAGGAAATAAAAACAGGGACATCGGTATGTGTTGGGTTTTGTAAAAAGAAAAAAAGAAAACTGTTCTTCGAATGCACAATATTTGTAATCATCGTGAGAGTTCTTGTTATTGTTGCCTCACAAAAATGGTTATTAAAATGACCATATGTCTATCGTCTGATTTGATAGCGGTTGTTTGAATATGTATGCACTGTAAGTGATTTGCTAACAAAGTTATCAATTATTTTTCTTGTATACATGACTAAGGTTCAAGTGTTCGAGATAAAGTGCATCATATGAGAGAGAAACTGCCGTTAGTTTTTTATAGATTCAAACGTTCGCTGTTGTAGTCTTTCCTTAGTGATATCATGTTTCGTCACATCACATTTTAGGCCTGTTAAATTAATAAAAACCCTTTTTTGTATTTATTACACAGCTGGTATTTAGTCTTTACTTCTTTTAATAAAATTCGACATTAAACACTCGCGTGAAACGTAAATTTCCTTTATTGCACAAGGAATCACTAGCAAGTGGAATTTCACTTTTGCTTTAAAATAATTAGTTGCGGTGGGGATTTATTTTGGTTAATGCCATGTGTACTGTTAACATATTCTGCGGATTAATACTCTGATAGAAAGTTAGCACCAATGTTTAGTGTTCGTGGATATTTGGAGTAGATTGTCTACGAAATCAAATGTCCATGAAAGAGATCATTTTTGACACACCAAGGAATTTCAGCTCCGATAAGATATATGAATTTAAATTCATACCGATATCTTTCATTATGACAGGTGGCCACAGACTTCCTGATTTACAAAAAGGTACTACGTACAGAGAAACTCCAGCTTTGGATCATACTTGTCAGTTTCTGTGGAGGGATAATCGTTTTCATGATAATTGGAATAATTCTTCTCCGAGTAAGTTCATGTAAATTTACTAAGTTTTTCACATACAGAATAAGAATGTTCATATATTTTACCATCGTATCAATTAAAAACGTATTTGGTAAAAGAGAGGATACTGAAATAAAAGAAAGTCGTATTTCTTATACTTTGATTGGTCCTCTCTTGCATCATAAACAACCACAGCCATGAATTGGTTGTCAAACACTGAAGTACGCTCCCAGAAGGAGAGACAAGTTGGTAACAGCAAAACAAAGAATGAAAATCGAACTGGTTGAAGCTGGAATTGAAAAATAAAAATATTTTGTTTCCAGGGAGGTCAAGATGGCGATCATGAACAGCCCTGTAATCTGTCTCGAAACCTTGTGCTATACGTATTTGGTAAAATCGTGAATATAAATAATGATATGTAAATACAATAATTCACAAGCCTTACTTAAATCATCTCATATTTTCAGATTGGCTTCTTTAAGAGGAGGCACCGAGACGATCTTCTTATCCTCCGAAAGTTACAGTCCAGACACTGTGGAAGATCTCGCGTGAGTTCTGAAGAGACGAGTGATGGAGGAGAGGGCAGCAATGAGAATCTCGTCCTCGCAACGGACTACAGAACTGTGACTTATGACTTGTCAAGGGAATCATCACCCGATTCACCGATCTCCCGGACGTTTAATGACACGGATTATTTAGAACCTATTCAAACACTTGCGAGATCGTGATTTATGATAATCTTATTGAACGCTTATATTTATTATGTGTTTCATATTCAAAATCGTCTGTTTTTTCTTAACTTCCCTTTTTTTAACAGACCGTTGGAAATTTGCATTTCATCGTATTATCAGGTCCAATTAAAAAAACCTACTAATAGCATTACTTTGTCGTTTAATGATTTCCCTCGGTCTGCTTATTGCCAGAATTGAGTTACTGCTTCCGGAAGAAAGGGTTAAGATCTGGCTTCTGGTTCAATGCGTGCGTATACTCCACAATATACACAAAATCGATTTGTTGTTTGTCCAATTCTTCTCTTGAAATATCTGATCCGTTATCTTTATTTACTACATTTTTGATATGTCATTTCGTGCCGATTCTACTGCATTCCTGAAGAAACGCGAAACGCCATGAAAATACAGTGTAATCATCAACATCTCTTATAAGCGTTTGTTTTATTGACTTTTCATCAGAAATTGATATCTCTTTTAAGTTGATACCTGATGTGTACAGGTACATATACTGTCTATATAGGAAAGTTTCACTATGCTATCTCTAAGTGTGTTTGTGCTGAGATAGCATACAGAATACATAATCGGTATCACGCAGTCACGACTTTTATTTGAACTATAACTAACTTCATAAATGAAAAAACTACGAGTTACAATAACCTACTTTCAAGATCACAGTGATGAAATACTGAGGCTGCATTAATAGAAACCATGCTTTGTTTTTAGTTTAGTAAAGTGAAAAGGTTATAATACATATTTTAAATGAATTACGTTAGCCTTATTCATGTCCCGTCAAACACATTAAAACAGAGAAACATTTAAAAAGGCATGCGGTCGAATATATTTACCTGAACACGATTTCTTTTTCAATTTGTGAACAGTGAAGCCCGTTGTTTAAAAAGTTAGCAAGGGGATTATGTAAAATTCGTACACGTGGATCCATTTTGTGTTTGCGACACCATAAACTACATACATATAAATAGCTCACGTGTGACACGGTGGTATCAACTCGTGTGGCAAATAGACTTGACGCTGAGTTTCTGAGTTGTGTATTTCAAAAGTTTTACATAACCTTTAATCACCATGATTAATTGATTTCATGTTGTTTTTACGGCCAATTTTATTTTCAGACCAACTTTTTTGTGTCTATAAATTGATGAAGAGAAAAACACAGGAAAGTTCCTCAAAATGAATCGCTATCTATAACATTTGATAAGTTTCTGATAAGAATTTTGTGAAACTGGAAACTTAGGTGAAGGCTCTTTCGTAGTTGTGTTGTTGTGGGCGACATTAAAGCCCGTGCAATGATTGAAACAAACATATCTATTATAATGTGTTAAAACAGAACTTACTGCACTGTTAGGTTTTCGAGCAAAGTGCAAATATACTTAGATATAATTAAGTTATTATAAAATCAGCTGGTTTTTCATACAAACGGTTTGTGTTTCTGTTACCATTGAACACAATAATATAGAATAACAGACTATTAAATTAAAGACAGTAGAGATAATAAAACAAATTTCATTTCAGAATCTTTATTCTCGGTGATAACATCTTTTCTGATTTCTTTGATCTTTCCGTTCTGCTGAAGCTGGATGTGTCGAATGTGGGTATGTCTGATGGTTCCGTTGTTGTATACCTTGTTCTTATTTGGAATGTAATATTACTTATATGGATTGACCAAGGTTTACATGGCGGATGTCATCGATGAAGTAGGAGACGCTTACTCTCCTGGTACTTTTTCGGGAGTCTCCGTACCGTTTTATTATTATTTTTGCCGTAGTTTCATAAAATTCGTACATGCATTTAAATTAAAAGATTGTGTTTGCATGTTAGTATTTTCTTTGTGATTTCTGTAAGATTTTTTGTATTATATTAATTATTTGTTAATCTAAAGGATTCTCTATATTACGCCACAGCCTTCCCTTTGTATGTTAGACTGTGATCTAGGTATGTATTCAGAATGAAGGCAAATGTAACTCTCCTAGCCATCTTAGGTTGTCACGTGTCAAAAAGTCTCTAAAATTATTTAATAACCATTATTATTGGTATTGTACCACTGTAATATCCTACTGTTAACGATTCAAATAAGGTGGTTAATCGTACACGAATGAGATTAATTTATGTCACATTTGTTGATATCGACAGTTTTAATGATGTCTTATTTTATCGAATCCTGGTTATACCGGTATATATATATAACAAGACTGACTTGCATCAATTAATGTATGTACTTGAGTGAAGTACATTTTTATACATTATATTGTCAGACAACTAAATATTTGTGTTAGCATGGTGTCGGGCAACTAAATATTTATATCAGCATTATATTGTCAGGCAATTAAATATTTATATCAGCATTATATTGTCTCTCCGGAAAAGTATATATAGACACGATAAGTATTATACTACAGTGTTCCAGAAATCCTGGATAATAAAACAATGCACATTCTATTTACAGCAAAACATTATAACAGATATAACACATTAAGCGGAATATGAAGTGTTATTTCTCCAGTGTTTACTTTCTTCAAATATCAAAATGTTCAAGGTTTTTTATTATCAGTAAGCATATTATAGACGCTATGAATATTCGAACTTGTGACCTTTTGATCTTTGATCTTACGGCTTACAGTAGTGATATCCAAGCCATTAACATATCAAATATAAATAATGTCAAAAACAAAACAAAAACTTTTCTTTGTGTGCATGATATACGGTAGAAAAAAATGCTCATGTCATTTTGAAATTATAGCCATTTGAAAGGTACCAGAATGGAAAGATAATTAGCCCTTTGTTTAGAGGGACATAACTCTTCCTGTGACCACTTGTTTGTTCATGTATCACGAACATACATGTATTAATCATACATCATCTTACAAACTGGGACCCTCAGAGAATCGAGTCAATTAATCCCGAACCGATACATCCTGAGTTATAGAACATATTCCTGAAACATCCCGATATATCCTGAGTTATAGAACATATTCATGAAACATCCCGATATATCCTGAGTTATAGAACATATTCCTGAAACATCCCGATATATCCTGAGTTATAGAACATATTCCTGAAACATCCCGTTGTGAAATTGAAGTGATAGAAAATCCCACAAGTAACATCATACAACCTTGTCACCGATGTTCTTAAAATCCCTAGAATGTGTAGATATTTAGTTTCACCCAGCATACAGGACGATTGTGCCTTTTTCTTTTTACTAATCAGAAATCTCACATAGAACCCTATGTTAATGATGCTTTTTTTGTATATAGTGTACGGTAAATATAGCGATGGTTTTTCATAAGATGTGTTCACCCTTCATGGAATGCGTATGATGACATTATAATAACATCTTGTATATTCGGACTGATACACTGAGACGTTATTTCAATAAATAAAAACACTCTTATAAAAAGTCTTTGTAATTATTTTTACGTTAAACATATTTTATTGTCAAAATAAGCAAATGGATTGGTCACAAATTACACGAACAATTTTAACGCACTTTCCTATTAATATAAATACACACATACATCTACATATATGGCATAAGATGGCTTAACTAAATTAAAATTTTACATGAAATTTTGGCATTTTTTTAAAAAGATTGTATCATCCACAAATGAAATGTACTTGTGATTTAAGTGGGGTTGGCAAGTGTACAGACCGACTTCCATTTAATGATGTAAATTTAGAACAGTTCCGTTTCATGTCAAGTGATTTGAAAGACGACCGGAAGGTCTCATGCATGCCATGTGCTATTCAAACGTTGCAAGACGTCAGCACGTGTTGGTTGTACGGCTTCTGTCTGTACAGAATACTTAGTTTTTTCATGTGTATGATGGTATCGTAATACATTCACAACATAAAGTCAATTTTCAAGGCTACCTAGATACCTAGTTATCTTTTCAGAAGACAGGCACAATATTGTTTTCATGGTCGTGTGTTTCGGTTCGGTTTGTTATGTTGCAGCACGTGTTTTTATATGATTAGATGTTGGTACTTGGACACATTTGATTCTGTTGCATATGAAAATTTCACGCGTTTTACTGTGTAAGTTTGATGATGAAAATTTCACGCGTTTTACTGTGTAACACCATATAGTGTTTCGTTTGATGATGAAAATTTCTCGCGTTTTACTGTGTAACACCATGAAGTGTTTCGTTTGATGATGAAAATTTCACGCGTTTTACTGTGTAACACCACATAGTGTTTCGTTTGATGATGAAAATTTCTCGCGTTTTACTGTGTAACACCATGAAGTGTTTCGTTTGATGATGAAAATTTCACGCGTTTTACTGTGTAACACCATGTAGTGTTTCGTTTGATGATGAAAATTTCACGCGTTTTACTGTGTAACACCATGTAGTGTTTCGTTTGATGATGAAAATTTTACTTATTTCACCTTGAAAAGAAGCTGAAATGTAGTGGAAGTATATTTTAAAAATTTCATTTGAAGGTTTCCCTTGGTCCCTAGTTGCGTAGTTTTGGTTTTGGGACAGATTAGGAAAACAAAATTGGCTGACCGCCGATCATCTTCGATTGTGACAATAAAGCTTTGTTATCGCTATTTTTTGGGAAGTGTTACATGGATTTTTCTTAAATTACATATGTAGATTCCTCTTTGTCACTTGCCGTGCCCTTTTAATTTTGGTACTGATCAGAAAAACAAAAATGGCTGACAGGCGACCATCTTGGATTTGGCAGTTACAGGTTTTTTCATAAGAGGACTTTATAATCTTTATACAATTAAGACCAAATACTGGGAAAGAAGAAGAGAAAAGAAGGTAAAATATTTAATTTCAAAGAATAGATGATAAAGATCAAACGATGGTGGGAACCAAGATCCGTCTGGAATTTCCTGTCTTACTCGATGTCTATCACACAAACTGATATTATAATAGCAAAAAAGTTATATAAATCATTTTCATTTCGAAATTATTCGATCAAACAAAATTACCTTGTGGGTTTAACGTCAGAAATACAACTAAATTTGACGTCATTCAATGTTGTCGTCACTTTATTCCAAATATCCCTTAAAAGGTATCAGACAAATGCTTATGTTTCAGTTAAGTATCAAGGTTTCGTTTCTGTATTTCTACTTCGTCCTTATCACGGGGTGAACAAAAATATATCAAAATAGTTAAGTGATTATGTAAAAGTTGAGGGGCTGCTATATTTTCGCTTTTAATACAAAAGTAATTCGAGGAAATAAAATCAAATATCATGATTTCTACAAAAAAATATTTCCAGGAAAATATATCCTTTTCGAAAAAAACGCAACAATGCAGCCTTGAACAAAGAAATTGTTTCTTTACCTGTAACAATTATCTCCATTTGTAAACAACTATGTAGGTTATGGATATATACTGAAGCGTATTCCGGCCACGTTGTGTTTTATTTTAACTCGAAATTTTGAGACAGTAACTCGAAATAACGAGATGAAATAAAACACAACGTGGCCGGAATACGCTTCCGTAGATACACATATCCATTGCCAATTTTACAACAATAATATCGATAATACAAAACTTGTTTAAATCCCAAGTCCACGGCCCTACAAACGTCCTTGACCCTACAATTGTAAATTATTCAGCGTAACCTAAATTTAACGCCACATGTTTTTTCATGACAATGTATAATTCTACCAAGAAATGTATAACTTCATTCAATACAAAAACATCAATCATGAGTGATGATATACATTTATTTCAGTATTTAATATTCATGCTCATGTTCTCATAAATCCCTTGCTCGTATTTACACATATTCGTAAACTCCTCACACGGCCTACAGAATACCATCAGTATTTACATTCCGCTGTTGTTACAGCAAATTGATTGTAGCATTGTTGATACTTCTTGAGTTTAGAAAATGGAACGTTCTTGATAGGAATGCAGACGAAGTATATTATTCCCCTTAAATTATCAACAAAATCTTTAAATTTTTACGTCGTGGTTTGATACAAGACTACAGATTACATTAAACTCTACAAAAGGCAATATCTGCTTCGAAGTTAACACAATTAAGACGTATCTGTTTGTGATCTGTTCTCCCGCTGAATTTGAAGTGCAAGTGATTATTATTACAGTTTGTCGATGCAGCTTATGCGCAATTACTGTAAGAGTCTATTTTTTCTTTTTTCTTTCTGTTTTGTTTTGTCCATTATTAACTTTCTATTGCTTTAACCATAAATACTCTCTAGTTCATATAAGTTCGTTACAAATTAATACAGTTTACAGTGTTGTTTGACAGTTCGTTACAAATTAATACTGTTTACGGTGTTGTTTGACAGTTCGTTACAAATTAATACAGTTTACAGTGTTGTTTGACAATTCGTTACAAATTAATACAGTTTACAGTGTTGTTTGACAGTTCGTTACAAATTAATACAGTTTACAGTGTTGTTTGCCAGTTCGTTACAAATTAATACAGTTTACAGTGTTGTTTGACAGTTCGTTACAAATTAATACAGTTTACAGTGTTGTTTGACAGTTCGTTACAAATTAATACAGTTTACAGTGTTGTTTGCCAGTTCGTTACAAATTAATACAGTTTACAGTGTTGTTTGACAGTTCGTTACAAATTAATACAGTTTACAGTGTTGTTTGTCATTTTAACTTTTTAAATTATGTATAAATAATATGATGGATGGTCGGGTGTTGCTGTGATAACGCACCCGCCTTCGACTAGACGTCAAGGGAACCCCGGAGTGGACAAAAAAACGTATGGGGTCACCTGACCGACCACGTGAGTTTACCACGTGTGCTCTGATTTCCTATCACAGTACGGCCCCTCGCGCGCGTACATCCGGGACAAGAAAAGTGATTAATAGTTGTTGGGAAATCTTGTTTCGCAATTGTTTTAACGTTTAATTTTGAATGTATTTAGATGAAGCACTGTTACATCAACTGCTTTGACAAAATGTAACAGATATGTTTTAATGTTTTCTGAATGTAGACATCTTGCTTGGAACTGTAAACAAAATTCTACAAATTAAACATAGTAGTACCACATATGACTGTTAATCAACGTCCAATATCTGTTAAGACTATTTGAAAAAAAATTGAAAAAATATACCAATGTATTTCTAAGTGTTTAATTAAGATAAATATAAACATCAAGTATTCACCTCTTCACCTCACACTTCATTTCTGATCAGTCTAAACTTTAAACTTCTCTAATCAGTCCAGGATTTATCACATGATGTCACAATAACTAACTTTCGATGAACTCTGCAGATCTCTGTGACGTTGCAAATTCCGTGTAGACAAAATGGGCGCCACAACCGTTGACTGCATCATTCACAACACTGATATATATTTTACTCCCATATCTTTAGAGTGAACACATGGAAATCTATTAATGTTTGTGATTGGGTTGGTTTCTTTTCCATGAATGTCTTTACAGTCATAGACATCAATGATATGCTGACTGATACAGATTACAATATTACTAGGACATCTATGGAGAGCTGACCACAATTCCATTATGTAGTTAATTTAAAAACTTGTAACTCTACAGTAAAATCTAAACACTCTAATGTATCTAATTTGTCATAAATGTATTCCAATCTATCTCATCGAAAATTCTTTCCGTTTTATGGCTATTTATTTCAGGTCGACAATGTTTTTTTTTTAACGACGCCTTTCACATTCTATGACTAACTCACATCTATACACAGACATGTCACTTGACCAGCACTCCACACTACGCCATTCGCATCGTCATGTTCTCGGACATGGCGGCAAGTTGAATGATCCAAACACGTTGAGTTCGTACAAACATGATAGCGTGATAACCAACACATACGCTACAAGACATACAATACCAAATGTTCGCCCCAGCTTCCACTTAGCGAGAAATACGGCGACGCCAAGGAACACGACTGTAGAGAGGAGAGTTAGAGCGGAATAGGTGAGACCAACACTGCTGATTTTAAGTGGTTCACCATTTTTGAAAGCCGCTGTGTTTACCAGCCAAGGAATGCCAAGACATACGAGGACATCAAACACGTTACTTCCTATAGAATTGGATATGGCCATGTCACCGTATCCTAAAACAGAAATCATAACACACATGTACAAACAAAACATATACTAAAATTAGTTTACTTCGATAGAATAGAAGCTCTTATAACACAACCAGTAGAAGCTTTAGAGTGTGACGTTTCGATGACCCGACGGTCAATTTCATCAGACAAATACTCCGGGTGGAGCGTTCTAGCACTGACGTATAAGGTGATGATGTAGTCATCAAAACGTCACACTCTAATCTTTTACTGGTTGTGTTTTAAGAATTTCTATGCTATTGACGTTTCCAAATTGAAGAAAATGTTCCAAACTAGTTCACTTAGGTATATCTAAAATACTAATACTAAAATATACTCATTATATACATACATATATAAACATCATTGTGCAATTCCCCCTCAGATGATTGATCAAATAATACCTATTGTGACGTCAGAATACGATCATGTGATGACGTCATTACTTTGAGGTTACAACGTATCGTGACAACGGAGATGATAGATCAAATGTTGTACAAAATACATACAAAATGATAAAACCATAAACGAATTAAGTAGACTATGAAAAAAACTGCATTACATATCCGTTTCGTCCTTCTGGGACTCGTCAGTGATGCTGCAAAGATGTTTCAAAAATGACGTTGATATCAATGTTTCCTACAATTTTACTAAAATTGATTTATATAAGAAATGTTAACTTATTATACTTATATATAGATAATATTATCATTATCAGAGTTATCTAACAATGAAACAAGAAGTTCTTGTTTGGTAATAAGCCACGACAATTCAGCAAATGATTCACCGTTGTCCCGTAATAAGCCCACACCAATCCAGCAAATGATATACCATTGTCCGGTAATAAGCCCACACCAATCCAGCAAATTATATACCATTGTCCCGTAATAAGCCCACACCAATCCAGCAAATGATATACCATTGTCCCGTAATAAGCCCACACCAATCCAGCAAATGATATACCATTGTCCGGTAATAAGCCCACACCAATCCAGCAAATGATATACCGTTGTCCCGTAATAAGCCCACACCAATCCAGCAAATGATATACCATTGTCCGGTAATAAGCCCACACCAATCCAGCAAATGGTATACCATTGTCCGGAAATAAGCCCACACAAATCCAGTAAACGATATACCATGTCCGGAAATAAGCCCAAACCAATACATAAATGATATCCCGTTGTCCGGTAATAAGCCCACACCAATCCAGCAAATGGTATACCGTTGTCCGGTAATACGCCCACACTAATCCAGCAAATGATATACCGTTGTCCGGTAATAAGCCTACACAAAATCATAAATGATATACCGTTGTCCGGTAATATGTCCATCTGTCTGATTTAAGAACAGTTATATCCTTTTACAAATAGACTTGGCAGAAGACTGCGCGTTTTAATGGACCTATACATATATACAACATGAGATAGCTTACCATCTCGGGCTACAAAAAGACTGGCGAGACAGTCTGGCACACTTGTCCCGGCCGCTAAAAGTGTCAGACCCAGCACTGTATCGGGGATCTCTAGGGCGTCTCCTGTAGAATAGAATCAAACGTTACCACATGACAAGAAAACTGACATTTTATTTGTGATAAAATGTAAGACATTTCGTAATATTTTGTGGTGTTTGGTGTTTGTTTCGGATATATCACATTACAATATATAAATAAGTTAAATATACATACATATAAATATCAAGAGGTAACGAGGTGATATTGGAGTACAAACAGATGAACATTTCATGTCAAATATCACACTTTTAACTTTGTAACTTCTTAAATAACTATTTATCTATTTAATCCTATTCCTTGCATTGTTACAGATATAGAATTATAAACATGTGTATTACATTGATAAAAGAAAGCAAGAAAAAAAGAATTAAAACTCAGACAAAATCCTACGAACTATAAACCAAACACAACGCAAAACAAACACAAGCAACATCTAACAAATCAAATCTTCCAATGTCAATGGGAAAAATTGTTCAGTTGGTATTCTAGATTCTACACCTAAGCCTTCAGGACCTCTGTGTGTGGAATACAGACAACAAATGAAGAGGCAGAATGAACTCCGACGTGTATAAGTGAGATCTGTCTATTACTATTTTCTGTATAAGAGAGTGTGGTTTGTGTTGAGGTTCATTTCCTCCACAATAATTACATTCAGAGCACGCTTTTATATGTTCTTATTGCGGGGAAATCTTATCCGACCTGTATAGATCTAATCACACAGTTCTAACTTTGATATTCAATTTTGTCTGTTTCTGTTTATCTAACTGATTTCAATTCATTTTGATCAGACGCAAATGTAAATTAAAGGTTGTAATTGAGGTTTACAGAGAAAGGTTTGATTGAATGCCAGTCGAAGATACTTTCTGATATATATTGAATCAGTTTATCAATTCTGGATCAACCATAATTTGGGGAATTCACAAATTGTAGATGTGTATATCTTTCAGTTTTAATCATGTGGTACTGTAATTTTTTTCTCTCCTTCTTTTATTTATACTATCATAATTCAAAAGGTAATAACAAAAGAAAAAAATTAAGAAAAAAATTCATTACGTAAGTTTTTAAAAAAATGAATGTGATATTTTCACTGAGTAACAACAAGTATTGATATTTTAAATCCTTTTTTTTTACAGTATTCTGAAATTTGAATGCATATTTCACAGAGAGTGTGAGAACTTTGTGAATAACAGCTTTATTTCACAGAATTTCACAGGAGTGAGAACTGTTGCTTTATTTCACAGAGAGTGTAACAGCTTTGAGAACTTTGTGAATAACATTTCACAGAATGGAGTGAGAACTTTGTGAATAACAGCTTCACATTTCTTTGTGAATAACAGCTTTATTTCACAGGAGTGAGAACTTTGTGAATAACAGCTTTATTTCACAGAGAGTGTGAGAACTTTGTGAATAACAGCTTTATTTCACAGAGAGTGTGAGAACTTTGTGAATAACAGCTTTATTTCACAGAGAGTGTGAGAACTTTGTGAATAACAGCTTTATTTCACAGAGAGTGTGAGAACTTTGTGAATAACAGCTTTATTTCACAGAGAGTGTGAGAACTTTGTGAATAACAGCTTTATTTCACAGAGAGTGTGAGAACTTTGTGAATAACAGCTTTATTTCACAGAGAGTGTGAGAACTTTGTGAATAACAGCTTTATTTCACAGAAGCTTTATTTCACAGAGAGTGTGAGAACTTTGTGAATAACAGCTTTATTTCACAGAGAGTGTGAGAACTTTGTGAATAACAGCTTTATTTCACAGAGAGGGTAAAAACTGTGAATAACAGCTTTATTTCACAGAGTGTGAGAACTTTGTGAATAACAGCTTTATTTCACAGAATGGAGTGAGAACTTTGTGAATAACAGCTTTATTTCACAGAGAGTGTGAGAACTTTGTGAATAACAGCTTTATTTCACAGAGAGTGTGAGAACTTTGTGAATAACAGCTTTATTTCACAGAGAGTGTGAGAACTTTGTGAATAACAGCTTTATTTCACAGAGAGTGTGAGAACTTTGTGAATAACAGCTTTATTTCACAGAGAGTGTGAGAACTTTGTGAATAACAGCTTTATTTCACAGAATGGAGTGAGAACTTTGTGAATAACAGCTTTATTTCACAGAATGGAGTGAGAACTTTGTGAATAACAGCTTTATTTCACAGAGAGTGTGAGAACTTTGTGAATAACAGCTTTATTTCACAGAGAGTGTGAGAACTTTGTGAATAACAGCTTTATTTCACAAAATGGAGTGAGAACTTTGTGAGAACTTTGTAAATAACAGCTTTATTTCACAGAGAGTGTGAGAACTTTGTCAATAACAGCTTTATTTCACAGAGAGTGTGAGAACTTTGTGAATAACAGCTTTATTTCACAGAATGGAGTGAGAACTTTGTGAATAACAGCTTTATTTCACAGAATGGAGTGAGAACTTTGTGAATAACAGCTTTATTTCACAGAGAGTGTGAGAACTTTGTGAATAACAGCTTTATTTCACAGAATGGAGTGAGAACTTTGTGAATAACAGCTTTATTTCACAGAGAGTGTGAGAACTTTGTGAATAACAGCTTTATTTCACATAGCTTTGTGAATAACAGCTTTATTTCACAGAGAGTGTGAGAACTTTGTGAATAACAGCTTTATTTCACAGAGAGTGTGAGAACTTTGTGAATAACAGCTTTATTTCACAAAATGGAGTGAGAACTTTGTGAATAACAGCTTTATTTCACAGAATGGAGTGAGAACTTTGTGAATAACAGCTTTATTTCACAGAATGGAGTGAGAACTTTGTGAATAACAACTTTATTTCACAGAGAGTGTGAGAACTTTGTGAATAACAGCTTTATTTCACAGAGAGTGTGAGAACTTTGTGAGCTTTATTTCACAGAAGAGTGAGAACTTTGTGAATAACAGCTTTATTTTGTGAGTGAGAACTTTGTGAATAACAGCTTTATTTCACAGAATGGAGTGAGAACTTTGTGAATAACAACACAGAAGAGAGTTTATTTATTTCACAGAATGGAGTGAGAACTTTGTGAATAACAACTTTATTTCACAGAGAGTGTGAGAACTTTGTGAATAACAGAGTGTGAGAACTTTGTGAATAACAGCTTTATTTCACAGAATGGAGTGAGAACTTTGTGAATAACAGCTTTATTTCACAGAATGGAGTGAGAACTTTGTGAATAACAGCTTTATTTCACAGAATGGAGTGAGAACTTTGTGAATAACAGCTTTATTTCACAGAGAGTGTGAGAACTTTGTGAATAACAGCTTTATTTCACAGAGAGTGTGAGAACTTTGTGAATAACAGCTTTATTTCACAGAGAGTGTGAGAACTTTGTGAATAACAGCTTTATTTCACAGAATGTGAGAACTTTGTGAATAACAGCTTTATTTCACTGTGAGAACTTTGTGAATAACAGCTTTATTTCACAGAGATGGACTTTGTGTGAGAGAACTTTGTGAATAACAGCTTTATTTCACAGAATGGAGTGAGAACTTTGTGAATAACAGCTTTATTTCACAGAGAGAGTGAGAACTTTGTGAATAACAGAATGGAGTGAGAACTTTGTGAATAACAGCTTTATTTCACAGAGAGTGTGAGAACTTTGTGAATAACAGCTATATTTCACAGAGAGTGTGAGAACTTTGTGAATAACAGCTTTATTTCACCGAATGGAGTGAGAACTTTGTAAATAACAGCTTTATTTCACAGAATGGAGTGAGAACTTTGTGAATAACAGCTTTATTTCACTGAGAGTGTGAGAACTTTGTGAATAACAGCTTTATTTCACAGAATGGAGTGAGAACTTTGTGAATAACAGCTTTATTTCACAGAGAGTGAGAACTTTGTGAGAACTTTGTGAATAACAGCTTTATTTCACAGAATGAGAGTGAGAACTTTGTGAATAACAGCTTTATTTCACAGAAGTGTGAATAACAGTGAGTGAGAACTTTGTGAATAACAGCTTTATTTCACAGAATGGAGTGAGAACTTTGTGAATAACAGCTTTATTTCACAGAGAGTGGGATGAGAACTTTGTGAATAACAGCTTTATTTCACAGAATGGAGTGAGAACTTTGTGAATAACAGCTTTATTTCACAGAATGGAGTGAGAACTTTGTGAATAACAGCTTTATTTCACACTTTGTGAATAACAGCTTTATTTCACAGAATGGAGTGAGAACTTTGTGAATAACAGCTTTATTTCACAGAGAGTGTGAGAACTTTGTGAATAACAGCTTTATTTCACAGAATGGAGTGAGAACTTTGTGAATAACAGCTTTATTTCACAGAGAGTGTGAGAACTTTGTGAATAACAGCTTTATTTCACAGATAGTGTGAGAACTTTGTGAATAACAGCTTTATTTCACAGAATGGAGTGAGAACTTTGTGAATAACAGCTTTATTTCACAGAGAGTGTGAGAACTTTGTGAATAACAGCTTTATTTCACAGAGAGTGTGAGAACTTTGTGAATAACAGCTTTATTTCACAGAGAGTGAGAACTTTGTGAATAACAGCTTTATTTCACAGAAGAGTGAGAACTTTGTGAATAACAGCTTTATTTCACAGAGAGTGAATAACAGTGAGAACTTTGTGAATAACAGCTTTATTTCACAGAATGGAGTGAGAACTTTGTGAATAACAGCTTTATTTCACAGAATGGAGTGAGAACTTTGTGAATAACAGCTTTATTTCACAGAATGGAGTGAGAACTTTGTGAATAACAGCTTTATTTCACAGAATGAGAACTTTGTGAATAACAGCTTTATTTCACAGAGAGAGTGAGAACTTTGTGAATAACAGCTTTATTTCACAGAAGAGTGTGAGAACTTTGTGAATAACAGCTTTATTTCACAGAGAGTGGGATGAAAACTGTGTGAATAACAGCTTTATTTCACAGAATGGAGTGAGAACTTTGTGAATAACAGCTTTATTTCACAGAATGGAGTGAGAACTTTGTGAATAACAGCTTTATTTCACAGAATGGAGTGAGAACTTTGTGAATAACAGCTTTATTTC